TTACACAGCACGATAACATTTTACAATAATTTCCTAATTGATGTGTTGCTAATATTACCGCAAAATTCTCCTAAAGCAGGATTTCTGAGTTTTCGATAGTCTCCAACACAACTCATTCTTGAACACGTAGTCCCTTCCTTCGACCACCATAAAGCTTTGTATATTTACTAGTGCGCACAACGAAGCGTCATATCTCCTTAGCAACATTGTAGAGCTGGGAAAAAAAACTGTGGCAAAGGTTCGTGGATTTAGGGTTTGAAAGCACGGTGCGCACAAATGTGACGAAGTTTAACCCCTGTTGGAATCAAGTTCATTGATGCGCGTCGATAATAATGCATGTGCACAGCAATTACGCTAATACAGCAATTAATAACCATGCTAAAAAAAAAGCACGTTTGGGCATGCATAAAAATGAATACTTGTGCATTATAGGCTTGCCGTGATGACACAGACACTAAAAGGTGAAAATGATCTGCTGTAATGTCAACAGTCTTGCGTAATCACTAAACAAACAAACATGCACACACACACACGCACGCCCGAGCGCGCTGACAGACAAACAGACAGACCAGGTAACCTATGGACGGATGAATTTCCATGTTGAAGCTGGGAATTTATTTTGAAGCAGCTGCTTGCTGGTTAAATTAGGTTCCCGCTATTCCCGTGGTAGCTGCCGCCTTGAGAACTGTGCAGAACTGCACTTGGAGTAATTGAAGAATGGCAGGGGATTTAGCATGAAGACATAGATTTCCACCTGGACATGGTGGACGCAACACACATTTCACTTACACAGGAAGGTCCATGCAGCTATACCAATTTTGGAATAGAATTGAAATGCGATCTGATTAGAATTAAAATGTTTACATTTTGTATGAATAGGTTATTAGATCAAGGAGATTAGAGATGACTGGATAAGTGGTCCTTAGTAAGAGGCAGTGTAGGGCCTATGACTTGTATGTGATATTAAAATGGAATATCACATTAAATCAAAACTGTTCCATATCCCAATAAATATCCTAAATGCATTGCAATAAGGGCAACAAGCAACTAAATAAAATAGGCCTATCGAATTGCACATTGATGCGTGGGATATCCTGATTTAAATTCACCTGTTCCACGCCCAAGTTGGAAACACCATGTAGCGCCCATGACAACGACCAGATAGATACACAATACAAGCCAGTCCTCCTGGGTAATTTGCCCTCCTGCAAACTAGGCTAATACCCGTGTTGTGGGAGAAAATTCGAAATGCCATTTGTCTTACCCATATTTCCACAAATACAAATTAGGTTGACTGACGAACTTTTAAAATCTGTGAAATGTAACTGAATCTACGATGATAGTGTATTTCAATTTAACGGGAGTAGATTTAAATAGCCTGTCAGAAAACAAAATACATTTTTATATTATTATTATTATTATTATTCGTCTCTTACTATTTCTAGTCTATTATTATTGTTATTATAGCAATACCATAATAATGATAATATATTTTCACAACTTATTTTTCCAGGTTTCGTCATCAATAACTCTCTCAAAAAATTAGAACTTGTTTCTGAAATTGAGTCTTTATTTTCCTATCAAACTTATCAACATATAGCTATTGTGTAGCCTACTCTGAACACCGTACAATATTTTAAATGCATTCTTGATTTTTTTTGTATTGACAAGGACGGTTGACAGAAAAACGATGGGTTATGTTTGAGTTTTGTTTCTCCAAGTTGGTATTGTTGGTGCTTAACATGTTTATACAACTCAACTTGACTTGTAAGTCAGTTTACCCTTTTAAATCAGAATAATTGGCAGGAGTTTCAGTTTCTGTTCAATATAATATTTTGGAGATGCCAATTTCCCAAATCTTCTTCTGAATATTGCTTTACAGACCTTTAACTATGTAGTAATGCTCAAAGTATGATTTTTATATGGAGAAATAATTGTAAAGCTGTAGGCTAATGCCCTTTGTTTAAACATTGCAAGGTGACTGCTTCCCATAACATCATTAGACCTATGTGCAAACTGCAAAGACAAGAACACTTACCAAACAAAATGAGCGTGATCCAGTTTGACTACGTCCAAAAATAATGTGGTAGTGATAAACAGCTTATTATCCTTTTTATAACATGTCTCATATCTGTAACATTCGTCAAAAATCAAGCCATCGATTAAAAAGCACACATTATCGAGTCTTTTTTTTCTCCTTCCAGAAATGGCTGACCACTCACGACGAAGAAAATCATTAGATGATAAAGCGAGGAAACTTTAAGTGTCATGAGCTTCCTCCGGGAGATTGTGTTGTTGAGATTTAGAGTTGGGTGGGATTCGGGTGACAGGAGGAGGTGTTAGCCGCGGTTTGGGCGCACATAAGCGGGAAACATTTTCCTAACTCACTAGGGGGCACATGGAGGCAACTGCTAGATAAACCATTGGGAAAAGAGTTCTAACAATAAAGCTTTGAAACGAAAATACGTTGTCTTATACTTGTGCATAGCCTATCTAAAGACTACATAGTTTTAAACTTCTGCAACGCAATTATTATATGGAGCACTATTAGTACTATCCTTAAATAGCCTCGAAATGATTAGGACTACCGGAGATCACTGTCACATTCCAATTTCTAACATATTTTAGAGTTAAAATATATATATATGTAACATTTTTCAGACAAGAAACAATATCTCGCATTGTAACAATGAGGGAGTTATATTAACTTGAGCTGCTGTGCGCCGGGCTATGACCCATGAGGTGAACGGGCAAAAACGAGGTCAAATCATTATGTCAGTGCCTTAAGGTCGGAAAGTCTGAGCTCTAGAAATGCAGCGTTCACATGCTAGTCGGAACTAGGAAACTCTGAAATGTCAATCTTGCTAACTGGTTGTAGTTAGGGTACTTGGGGGTAACTAGCCCCCTGGGGTAACTGCCCCCATGTAGTAGCTTCCCCCCTGTAATTCACATTAAGACCACAAGATGTCATGAAATTATTTTCCCAACGCTTTCTCTGGCTGCCACTGCTCTTCCTCAACAAAAAATGTCCTCTGTGTCATCACATCTTTTGGAGATATTTCAACAAAACGATTTTGTGGTAAGTTGATCTAATTTTGTAACATTTTGAAAAGGTTGTAGATATATTCCAGTGAAGCTAGACCTATAATTGTTTTTTTAAATATACAAGTAGGAAAGCCTTAAGATAAATAATCTTAAGGCTTTCCGGGGCGGCAGGTAGCTTAGTGGGTAAGAGCGTTGTGCCAGTAACCGAAAGGTCGCTGGTTCTAATCCCCGAGCCGACTAGGTGAAAAATCTGTCGATGTGCCCTTGAGCAAGGCACTTAACCCTAATTGCTCCTGTAAGTCGCTCTGGATAAGAGCGTCTGCTAAATGACTAAAATGTAATGTAAAAAATAATCCATTTGTTTAGAGAGAAAAATTTAGATAATGTTGGAGTAAAGTAGTAATATGTTAGATGAGTGTGTTGGGGGCAACTCGCCCCCCCCCCCCCTCACTAGGGGGTAACTGGCCCCTGGGGGCTAGTTACCCCTTTATGGGTATGAATGTGTTTCTACCTGTCATTTAGACAATGACTAGCCCAGTAAGTGCTAGTTTATGCTAACTTGATGGCTAGCAACTTCACTAGCAGTAAATGCTAGCCAGCTAGCTAGTTAGAAAAAGCTGCTGGGAGTGCTAGCTAGCAACCTTACTGCAAGATCGTCTGACGTAAAATACATTAAAAAGGTAACATAACTTAATTGCAGTTGTAAATGTTTCCACTAGTGACTGATAGCTTTACAGTTAATGTTACTTTATAGCCTTTTAGCTATTTTACACAGCATTTTATGTCATATAGCTAGATATCTAGCTACGTTTTTAAGAGAGAGCCTTTTAATTGGCATCTCTCCCCCTGTTTTCAGTCACAGGTGAGCAGTACAGGAGGTGGGCTCATGAGTTGTGCTCCAATTTAACTGGGGAAAGCTTTATTTACATTTGTGACCAATGTACAAATTAGAATCATGCAATAGCAGAGCATAAGAAAGTGGCCACATAAATGTTACACTGAATTAATTAGTTAAGTTAGTTATTAAATGTTATATTCCAATGTTATTTAATGTTATTAGTTATATTCCATTCCAATATTATATTCCAATGAATATTTTTTTGAATGAATTAAAAACAACTATTTAAAATCTTTTGCTCCTGAATGTCATTTTAAAGACTGCTGGGATTTAAAATCTTGCATTATTCAAATCATATTTAGTGCAATTGTACATGATGGATTGTATGGAAAAGGAACAACAAAGAAAGAACAAAGACAATTAATGTGCAGGTCCGTTATCCAGGTACTTTTGAAAACATCCCTTTTCTAAAAACAAAATTTCATGAAATAACAAAAAAAGTGTAAACTGTAGCCATTTATTTCCCTTTATAGTTTATTCACCTAAGCATAGCCTTCATCCACATACCAATTTTTTTCCAAACGTTGCTTTTTTTGTGTAAGCAATTAGGCATTGTTCTTAGGGGGGCTTGTTACACCCTAGTACCATATACATGTGCCACGTTAAACCAGTTAGTATGTCACAAATGTCTGTGTTCAGACTAGCACGTGAATGCAGCAAAAGAGGCCCGAGTTCTTGATTAGGAATTCCGAGTTGGATGACTGTTCAAAACGATTTTTCCCAGTCGGAGCTAGTTTTTTTTTCTGAGTTCCCAGTTGTCTTGAACGCACTGTAGTCGGAATTTTCCGAGTTCTCAGTTGTTTTGAACGCGGCAACTGGCTCACGCCCGGGAGGCAGCCCGGTTCCAAAACGAATGTACTCACTTTTCACCATATGCAAACTCCCTCCAAAGGGGCAACCCGGGCCAGATAATCGAATCCCCTCAATGTAACCTCTGCTGAACTACATTTCCCGGCATAGGAAAAACTGTCTTCATGCTGATTGGATGGCGCTCTTGTTATCAGGTGCCTTTAATTTTGCGCGCTCACCACGTCGGTTGACAGAGTAGTTTGATCTTTGACCAGACTCTTGCGCAACCGGTACTAGAGGTGAGGTAAATCAAACGCACCGAAATAAGCATCAGACAGTTATTGTTGTCATGCACTTGTTTGATAGCATGTGAACGAGTAAAGTTTCCAACAAATCTTGGATACTGGTGAGTCGCTCAACCTTGGACGATAAACATCACGCTAAACATAAAACCTACCGTTATATATGTGGAACGAATTAGTGAACTACGGTATCTAGCTAGCTAGCTTGGCTAATGTTAGGCTAGCTAAGGTAAGCTTGCCGATAACTTGATTAGAGCCAGCTTGCTTAGAATGCAAAAAACATCACGCTAGCTGACGTTCGTCATTCATTCACATTTACTGGTTTGTCTACGCGACTGTTATGAATAACAAATTATACATTGATAGCTAGCCATTTCAAACGACATCAAACAGGTGTAGTTACTTAGTTAGCTAATCTGTCAAACCTACTCGCTTGCCATAGAGAGCCGTAACTCTTCTGTGCTACCAATGCAATGTGCATGTCAAAAGTCGCGTTACCAACTTGTTGGTACACGCACTACTACTAGATACATGGGTTCCTTTATTTTTAGTTAACGTTAGCTACAGTAGTATAGTTAGCCTAAACTTCAAAAGAAGGCATATGGTGTTTGGCTTGAAATACATTCATGTCTCAGTCGCCACCTTGTGGTTATTATTGACCAAAATACTCAAGACTAGGCGAACAATGCGAGTAGCTAGTTTTTTGGGTTGTAGAATAGTTTACTAATCACATGTTCATGTCCCCTTTCCACAGTGACCAGTCATTTTGTTCTATTCAAAAATGAACTTCTCTGAAGTCTTAAAACAGTCTAACCAACTGTGCAGAGTTTCACCAGATGGAAAATATTTGGTAAGCAATCATTTGTTTCTTTATACACTTAGTAATGTATATAATGTAATGATTAAGATTGTACACAAAAAACAGATACATATATAGGTTGGAGGAGGAGGCTGCCACACTGGACGCCCATGGAGCAGTTGTTGTGGTGGGGATAAATGCCTTGCTCAAGGGCACAACAGCAGGCAACAGCATCTAGGATTTGATACCAGCAACCCGGTTGCCAGCTCACTTCCTGATGCCAATAATGATTTATTAATTGAAGGCTACTGGGTTGTCCCACGAAATGAGTTCCTTTGATGTCCCTTTAATATTTTAAGTAGAAATTGTGCACCAATATAGAATTTCAAAAACGTGTTATATTAAATGAAGTTCCCTTTAATGTAGACCACATGGAAAATTCGATAAATCAGATTTATGGTCTGAATAAAGAAAGACTTGCTAAAGTGCCAAAATTCTGCATTTTAACATGTCCCTCTATGCACCCTCTGTGACTTCTAGGAAGATTTTAATCCACTTAACCCCAAAACGTCTCCAAGTTTTCACCATCATTGTAAATCCGTAGTTATTTTGTTGCTTTGACAGTCATTTCTGAAGTATAATATTTATTTCATGTGATTAGTGATTCATCTAATCACATGAAATGTATGTCCCTCATTTTAAGGCCAACCCTGTTACGTGAACTGAACTCTAATTTTAATATGGTGAAAACAGTCATTCTAAAGTAATTTTTTCTAACATCTAATGGTCAAATCACTGGTTCTATTCTTTTTGGCCATTTTCTGGTGTGTTGTGGAAAACTGAGCCAGTCGAGCATAACACGCCAACTCTGTTACCCATAGATAGACGGGCTCGAAATGTTTTAACAATGTAATTTTTTAAAATGATGTTTGCATTCAATTGCCCCTCCCTGTTGCACAATTCCCCCTTTCACAAGGGGATTTATGGCTGATTTAAGATTAAATCGTCAACCCTGTTACAGTCAACACTGTTACGGTCAACCGGGTTACTTGATTCGGCACTTAATAGGCACTTACTATAGTCCTTTTTTTATTTAACCTCTTGAGATATTAAAACATGTTTTTTATTATGGAGTGACTAGCTGTTGCTAAATATACAGAGATGTCTGGGCATGCAGGATCCACTAGCCTACCTCCTTTCAGCTGCTGCTCAGTGCTCAGTCACTCCGTGACTCTGCTGCGGCTCGTACACTAAACTGTTTTAATTGTCTGTTGTAACAGTAGGCTATTGCAAACATAAGCATGTCATAAACAGGTCTAGCAATTTCATGTTCTTTTTTCAGGAGTTACAGGCAGCTATTTAGGCAATCTATATGTAGCCTACACAGCATATCAAACAAACAAAACACAGACAGGCAATCAATAGCGATTTAATGTAATTTTTTTCATCATCATTGCAAACATTGTCTAAACAGGAGGCAGACTCTGGCTATATGGCAGCATAACTGTAAAGATTACATCACTTTTTTGCCCCAATGCAATGTGTTGACTGTGTCTTGCTTGTGCTACGGCAATATCCGTTTCAACAGACCGAGAAGGTTGTAGCTGGCCCTTCATATAGGCTATATTTTTGGAACGTTAGTTCAAATCGCAGCTGTTCAGAAATGGGGCAGAGACGTAGGCTACATCATAATTTCTATGACATTGGTTGAGGGTTCAGAAGAGGGTGAGTAAAGAAAGAAACGTGACTGTGTGTAGTACATAGCTAGGTTTCATCCAATTGGCTACAGATTTTCATGCAAATATTCTAAAATACGCATAAAGAAAATATGCAAATTTTCCCACCAGTGGTTTGTTTCCACCAAACGGACTTGTTGCGGATAAAAATCAGTGTGTGATGACATAGTGCACACAATGTACTTTTTTGCTTACATTTTCATGTACTGAATAAAAATCTAAAGTTCAATGCGTTTCCATCGCATTTTCAACTCTACCGATAGTTTTGTCACAAACTGTTGCTTTAAATAGCAAATGTGCCTTCTCTGGTCTTGGCCACTGCTCTTTCTCATATAATACATTTTACAGACACAAAAAGATCCCACCATGTGGAATGAACAAATTATCTGTCGGCATTTATAAAATTGTAACAAAACTTCCTGTTTCCATCACAGCTGTCATAAACATTTTTTATACGGTATGACTTTACTTGCATAAAAACTGTGGATGGAAACGTGGTTAATGACGTGATTCGGATCCTTCATTTTTACATTTTAGTAATTTAGCAGACGCTCTTATCCAGAGCGACTTACAGTTAGTGAATACATCTTTTTTTTTATACTGGCCCCCCGTGGGAATCGAACCCACAACCCTGGCGTTGCAAACGCCATGCTCTATCAACTGAGCTACATCCCTGCCGGTCCATTCCCTCCCCTACTCTGGGCCAATTGTGCGCCGCCCATGAGTCTCCCGGTCGCGGCCGGCTGCGACAGAGCCTGGATTCGAACCAGGATCTAGTGGCACAGTTAGCACTGTGATGCAGTGCCTAACTGCGTATTCGTAGCCTAAGCCTTTGAAAAATACGTTTCCAGAGGGACGGAGGTGAGGCAGGGGCCATAACTGCGTATTCGTAGCCTAATTTGAACATGTGCTCTTTATGACAGAATGTTAAAATGAGGTGAAATAAAACTTTACGAAGTTACACTACCCAAAAGGTAGTCATTTGGTGGAATGACCCAACTGTTTCAAATATTTCTGCCTTGACACCCCAGATACTTTATTGGTATGCATGCATTTAGAGTTCCAGACATACAGTGCCTTCAGAAAGTATTCACAGCCCTTGACCTTTTCCACATTTTGTTGTTACAGTCTGAATTTAAAGTGTCACTGATCTAGACACAATACCCCATAATGTCAAAGTGGAATTATGTTTTTAGATTTTTTTGCAAAGTAATTAAAAATGAAAACCTGAAATGTCTTGAGTCAATAAGTATTCAACCCCTTTGTTATGGAAAGCTTAAATAAGTTCAGGAGAAAAACCTGCTTAACAAGTCGCATAATAAGTTCCATGGACTCACTGTTTACAATAATAGTGGTTAACATGATTTTTGAATGACTACCCCATCTCTGTACCACACACATACAATTATCTGTAAGGTCCCCCAGTCGAGAAGTGAATTTCAAGCACAGAATCAACCACAAAGACCAGGGAGGTTTTCCAATGCCTTGCAAAGAAGGGCACCTATTGGTAGATGGGTGTAAATAAAAAAAATAAAAAAGACACTGAATATCCCTTTGAGCATGGTGAAGTAATCAACTACGCATTGGATGGTGTATCAATACACCCAGTCACTACAAAGATACTACAGTTGCTGGAGAGGAACGGAACCGCTCAGGGATTTCACCATGAGGCCAGTGGTGACTTTAAAAACAGTTACAGAGTTTAATGGCTGTGATAGGAGAGAACTGAGGATGGATCAAAATTGTAGTTACAATACTAACCTAAATGGCAGAGTGAAAAGAAGGAAGCCTGTACAGAATAAAAATATTCCAAAACATGCATCCTGTTTGCAATAAGGCACTCAAGTAATACTGCAATACAAGGCATTATGTTTGGGGCAAATCCAACACAACACATCAGAGTACCACTCTTCATATTTTCAAGCATAGTGGTGGCTGCATCATGTTGTGGGTATGCTTTCATTGGCAAGGACTAGGCCAAATATACACTGAAGTTGCTTACCAAGACGACATTGAATGTTCCTGAGTGGCCTAGTTAGAGTTTTGACTTAAATTGGCTTGAGAATCTATGGCAAGACTTGAAAATGGCTGTCTAGCAATGATCAACAATCAACTTGACAGAGCTCTTAGACTTACCCAAAAACACTTACAGCTGTAATCGCTGCCAAAGGTGATTGTAACATTTTATTGACTCGGGTTGAATACTTATCTAATCAATATATTTGTGTTTTACTTTTCATTAACAAAAAAGTATAATTTGTCTTCCACTTTGACATTTGAGTATTGTGTGTGGATTGTTGACAAAATAATGACAATTAAATACATTTTAATCCCACTTTGTAACATAACAAAATGTTTAAAAAGTCAAGGGGTGTGAATACTTTCTGAAGGCACTGTAGCAACATGCCTATAGGTCATTTGAAAGCCGCTAACCCATATAAATCTCTTTCTAGTTAAAGGAATAGGGCTTACATGACAGGTACCCTAGTCTAGACAGATTAATGTTTTAGGTGCAAATATGACGCACACCCTATGTTCTCTACTTATGCACTCAAAATATGTACTTTTAAACATCGACAACAGGCAAGGCAGATGGACATTCATGGCCTTACAACAGAGTTAAAAAGTCCAATAAGTACACATGTAGTTGTGCCGGAACACAACCTTTGTCTTTGTGCCTGATTGTCTCTATCCATCTCCTCCCCCCCAGGCCACATGTGTGCAGTACAGGCTGGTGGTGCGAGACGTGAACACCCTACAGATCTTGCACCTTTACACCTGCCTGGACCAGATAGTCCACATGGAGTGGTCCTCTGACTCGCTCTTCATTCTCTGTGCCATGTATAAGAGGGGACTAGTGCAGGTGTGAGGTCCTCTATTAGGCTAGTCTATATTGTTTTGATATCATTTGTCCAATAATGACAGTTGGTGTAGTGTTTTTATTTTATTTATTTTTTTGCCAAATTAGCTTGCTCACTGAATCTGTTGATGCATGCTTAAAGTGTTGCATTTCAAAAACATTTGTATACAGAATGTGGGAAATTAAGCTGGGAACAAAGTGTACAAATGTAATTCAACAACTTGCACAGATAAAGTGGAATTTAAGTAGTTAATTACTGACCATTTGAATGGGAAATTACCCCTCGTTTGAGACGGTGTTAACATCAAATGCAATGCACAGCTTACTTTTGCAGAGGTAACCATCGCCAGTCTTTCATGGCGTCTCTCGATCAGATTTGGTGTGGTCAAAGGTTTGCTGAGTACAGGTTGAGCTCAAGCTCAGGGAAAGGCAGTTGTCCTTCTCTCACAATCTCTCTTTCCGTCTCTCTTTCCTCTCAGGTGTGGTCTCTGGAACAGCCCGACTGGTACTGTAAGATTGACGAGGGCTCGATAGGACTAGTCTCCTCGCGCTGGAGCCCAGATGGACGTCACATTCTCAACACTACAGAGTTTCATGTAAGTGTGAAGTCACTAGGAGTGTGTGTGTGTTTATGTGTTTCTGTCTGGTGTCGACTGTTGCTGCCCATAATGAAGGAGGAGACCTGAAAATAGCCAGCAGACATCAGACCCTGCCCCACCTGACAAATGTATGCCCGATTTCACAGTTACTCCAGCTAGTGTCATATCCTCGACACATGAATTAAGTTCCTTCTGAGTCCTGTTCTGTTTCTCCTCCCCGAAGTGTGCACTCGTTCACTCCCTTTGAAGCATTTTAAAAAGCACTGGATTGGTGTAAGCCTGGGCTTAAGGGGGTTTTCACCATATTCCTTACACCACTCCCTCCCTTTGAAATCCATGGTGGAAGTGTACAGTGGGAGAAACGGAATTGGGCTGTAGATATGTGTTATATTCTTGGAAGATGACAATCCATCCAATGTGTCATGTCACACATCCAATAGGCTGTGAAATTCCATCACACTTAGAAATGTTTAATGTGGCGTGTTTTGCTTAATAAGAAATGGCAAAAAAGTACATTCTAGCGTCTTTCTGATTAGTTTAGACTTTGAATGAACATGCTCGCTGGAACCAAACCAGTGTCGGTGTGACATCATCGCAACCTGCTTTGCACGTCTGCAATGACTGTAGGTGAAAGTGCAGTTGTCTGGCTTATTGGGAGCATATTTGTCCCTAGGTATCAGAGGGGGGTGCGGGCTGCACTCGTCCTCGCCCGCCTGTTTGGGTTACGACTTGGGCACCGTGCCACGGCTGGGCTCGCCTGTCGCCCGAACCCGACTCCAAGACTCACTGACAGGTGTCGGGGCCCAGGCACAACTGTGTATGGAGGGAGCAGGGAGTGCAAGTGTCTGACATTTCTGCTTTGTGTCTGTCTGCTTCTTCAACAAACACAGGAATAGAATGGCGTCTTCCTCGGTCTGTCTCCTGCCATTGGGAGGAATCTGTCCATGAAATTCTGAGAACAAGGGAAGAATTGTCAGTTGTGGATGTTGGGAAGACGTTAAAAAAAAAGAAGTTTTGTAACAGAAAATGTGCATTTCTTATTGGATAAGTTCAAGTAGCCCCCCCCGTTTGTCTTTCTTCTTCAGTTTGGTGCCTTGTATGACTCAGAACTCATGCAAGAAGCCCTGTTTTCCCATTTGGGGTGCCAAGCCCGTTTACCAGAAGTCTTTGGGGGTGACGACGCCCGCTTTGCCCAGTGCTGCTGACCTCACCTTCACCCCTCCCAAGATTTCATTAAGGCTGTGCCAGACGGGTGTTCGTATCAGGGCTCAGTTTCAGCCGGGGGCTCATGAACAAGAAGCTATATTAACTTGTTAGGGGACAGCTGCCGTGTGTTGAACCCACTGTGTGTGTGTGTGACTGTGTGTGTTTTCTTTTCTCCCCCCCCCCCGGGAACAGACATCTACTGACTGTTTTGATACATGGGTGCAATTTGTCAGTTAACAGCTGACAGTGCTAGACGAGGGTATGGATTTACATTCATCTCTGTAGATATGCCATTTCACGTGGGAGAGTCGACGGAGCAGCAGGCCACGGCGTGAGCCAGCCTCTGGATCTGATCTGACATACAGCCCTCACCACAGTTTGCAGTGCTTTACTGTGCTTTGCGCTTTTTGTCCATGTACATGTTATTTCAAATGGTTAACAAGCAGTTTTTTTGATGATGAAAGATGGTCTTCTTACACCATATCTTGCATGCGTTATGTGATTTAGCTTAAAGCCCCTCGCAATTACTTAAGCTACTGTACATAAGACTATTGGAAAATCGATTTGAGAGTATTGCGTTCTCCTTGTTCTTACAAGTTAGCAGAACATCCTAGAGTCTCTTGGCTGTCTGTCATACGATAGGCTACCCACTCACTCGTCAGAACAGACATAACATTGGCAATTAGGCCTAGCTTCATGGATAGGCCCTATGTCATTCAAATAGGTGTTTGTCAAATTACTTTTACCCTCATTGCATGTTCGAATCAAAAAGCCATGCATGTTTGAATTCCCACTCCTGATTTTCTGCACTGGCACTATGCTGCACATATTCACTGCTAATCCAACAAACCAGCTGAGCGAGCTATAAAACCGGGGTGGAAGAAATCCACTCAAGGCCGGCGTCGAACATTATACACCTCTAATGGTTTTTGCATTGTTGGGATCAGGTTAGCTGCGTGCCTGGCCGGCGGCGCTGGATCCCCGCTAACGTGTAGCATGTTGGCTTTCAGAAACTGTGAACCAAAGTAGCTTCCACAGCTCTACTCTGACAATCGACAATCAGTCATCCAGACTGACGCCTGGCTACACTGCACTCCGATCCATGGGGGGAATTATAAGGCTGTAACAGGAGAAATGGGTCTATATCGGGTTGAGATACCGTCTCTGATGGGGAATGCATATGAACTTATCCATTGCTGACAGATAGGACTTTGTAAAGATTCCTCGCAGGAGTCGCAGCATCACTAATTCTCTCTTTCTCTCTCGCATATAAAAAGTGCTGCCACAGGAGGAGCGGATGGATTTGTGATTTGCTGTCAGGGATTCTGCGGTGTAATTGGTCCTGTTTATCAAGTGTAGCCTTTCTTGTCCCAGTGGGACTGTTCTTTCTAGGGTTAAGTTGAGGGCTTGAGGCATAACTCCTGTGAGGTTAAGTTTAGAATAAGGCTGTGGGAGAGCTTTAAACAGGAAAAACAAAGTAAAATGAATGCCTCACACGGGAAGTGAACCAGTACTGTTGAGAGCCGTAAGCCACGGTTTACGCCCTCCATCCACCCCGCCAGTTGCCACAACACCCTAGCAGGTACCTCTGCTACAACTCTGTAAAATGTGCTGCCCTCTCGTTGACACATGGCCTCCCTGCATTCGGAAAGTATTTAGACCCCTTCCCTTTTCCCACATTTGTTACGTTACAGCCTTATTCTAAAATTGATTAAATAAAATGTTTCCCTCATCAATCTACACACAATACCCCATAATAACAGCAGGTAGCTTAGTGGTTAAGAGCGTAGTGCCAGTAACCGAAAGGTCGCTGGTTCTAATCCCCGAGCCGACTAGGTGAAAAATCTGTCGATGTGCCCTTGAGCAAGGCACTTAACCCTAATTGCTCCTGTAAGTCGCTCTGGATAAGAGCGTCTGCTAAATGACTAAAATGTAAATGTAAATGTAATGAAAACAGGTTTCTAGAATTTTTGCAAATGTATTAAAAATATAAAACCTACCTTATTTACATAAGTATTCAGACCCTTTGCTATGAGACTTGAAATTGAGCTCAGGTGCATCCTGTTTCCAATGATCATCCTTGATGCTTCTACAACTTGATTGGAGTCCACCTGTGGTAAATTCAATTGATTGGACATGATTTGGAAAGGCACACACCTGTCTATATAAGGTCCCACAGTTGACAGTGCATGTCAGAGTAAAAACCAAGCCATGAGGTCAAAGGAATTGTCCATAGAGCTCCGAGACAGGGTTGTGTCAAGGCACAGATCTGGGGAAGGCTACCAAAAAATGTCTGCAGCATTGAAGGTCCCCAAGAACACAGTGGCCTCCATCATTCTTAAATGGAAGAAGTTTGGACCCACCTAGACTCTTCCTAGAGCTGGCCGCCCGGCCACACTGAGCAATCAGGGGAGAAGGGTCTTGGTGAGGGAGATTACCAAAAACCCGATGGTCACTCTGACAGAGCTCCAGAGTTCCTTCCAGAAGGACAACCATCTCTGCAGCACTCCACCAATCAGGCCTTTATGGTAGAGTGGCCAGACGGCAGCCACTCCTCAGTAAAAGGCACATGATAACCTGCTTGGAGTTGCCAAAAGGCACCTAAAGGACTCTGACCATGAGAAACAAGATTGTCTGGTCTGATGAAACCAAGATTGAACTCTTTGGCCTGAATGCCAAGCGTCACGTCTGGAGGAAACCTGGCACCATCCCTACCGTGAAGCATGGTGGTGGCAGCATCATGCTGTGGGGATGTTTTTCAGCGGCAGGTACTGGGAGACTAGTCAGGATTGAGGGAAAGATGAACGGAGCAAAGTGCAGAGAGATCCTTGATGAAAACCTGCTCCAGAGCGCTCAGAGATCTGAAAATAGCTGTGCAGCGACGCTCCCCATCCAACCTGACAGAGCTTGAGAGGATTTGCAGAGAAGAATGGGAGAAACTCCCCAAATACAGGTGTGTCAAGCTTGTAACGTCATACCCAAGAAGACTCAAGGCTGTAATCGCTGCCAAAGGTGCTTCAACAAAGTACTGAGTAAAGGGTCTGAATACTTACGTAAATGTGATTTGTTTCTTTTATTTTTAATAAAAGTGCAACATTTTCTAAACCTGTTTTTGTTTTGTCATTATGGGGTATTGTGTGTAGGTTGAGGAAAACCCCCCCAATTTAATCCATTTTAGAATAAGGCTGTAACGTAACAAAATGTGGAAAAAGTCAAGGGGTTTGAATACTTTCCGAATGCACTGTAACTAACTTCCTTATACGTCTAGAAAGAAGCATAAAGCTGATGATCGTGCTGTGAAGGCCAATACAAAGCATGCTTTGTGTCCCGTTATTCTGATGGATAAACAGCAGCTATTTTGTTTACTCTTGGAACATCTTGTCTGTCTGTCCCCCAGTCCAAAGAGACCGAAACCCCAGTTTGCTTCCAAGGTGTAGTTTTACCAGCTTCAGTCCCCCAGACTGGCATGCCAGGCAACACAGAGAAGCATTTCTCACCTATTTTACATATGTGCCGCTCCCTCCCTCTTCCCAGTTTAAAGTTACACCATGGCTTGGGGGCTCTACCTCTTCCCCCCCCCTTGACAACCTCCCAACCATGTCAATGTGGTGGGGTACAAGTTGTCCAAGAAGAGCTGTGTTGACGTTGGTTTCCATGGATCCGTGGACAGGGGGTAAGCGTGTGGGTGTAATGACAGGCCACAGCTGGATGTCTTGGTACCTCAGGAGCGTGCCCTGTACAGTTAAACCGTTACCCAGCGAAGCAACAGCCAGTAGGTCAGACAGACTGCTGTCTGAATGCCTTCCTCCCCTGAGTGAGAAAGACTTATCATGAGCCCTAGTTAGAAAATCAGGGAAAGCATGCAGGATGCCATGCTAGGAAACTAGAGCTATTTAAAGTTCATAATGTCTTTCTTCATACAGTTGTGTAGTTTTCTGATGTTTGCACTTCTCTTACAGGAAGGTAAGTGCAGGCAAAGAGAGAACCCTGAATTACGTTTTAATAGGAATTTTGGGAGTGTGTCGGTGTGAGTGTTCTGACGTGCACACAATATAAGCCGCTGCCTCGCAAGGCAGCTAAGAGGCTGAGGGTCTTGATTACAGTTCACACTTGAATTGACGACCCTCAACTTTGTCACTTCTGTCTCAGGCTTATTTCTTGTTATGAAGCCACATAACAGTCTTGGCTGATCACCGAGACTAGTTTAGTCCAGCATTTGCACAGGCTTAGTATTCAAAGTATGATAAGACCGGGTGGGGAGAAGTGTATGCACACACATTATATTGGCTTACTAGGTTGTAAAATAAAATATGAAGGCCTTGCATTTTACACCCATAACATACTTGTGTTGGTAGGCTGCACAGCCACAATGTCATTTGGATGGCTTAGAATGACTTCTGTTCTGGCTTTTACTTTTAGGAGTGCCAATAACTAGGCTAGCTCTAGCCTGAATGCAAATACTATTATTGTGCTTCTTACAGTGTAGACCTAGTTATGTTCATTTGACTGACTCTTTACGGGTACATGGTACTGGCATTGGCCTTGTTTCTATTGTCCAGTCCTGCTGGTAACCGATAAGGGTCATACTTGTACTTTACTGCTGTTAATGGATAGGCTAGAGATTTCATTATTGTAGCGTTTAGTTTAGAACTTTCCCTTGTGACTGCTTAACCATTTGCGACAACATCTCCTCTTAGTCTTAACCATCACGAAGACCCTCGTGGATCTCTTTCACAGACAGACACGGAGTCCCCCTAGGGGCCGTGTTGAGGCCGAACGGGTGACTGCTGTGTTTGGTATAAAACCTAAACTGATGGAGTGGCGGGGGCAGGGAGGAGCTCTCAGCGGTCTCATTAGTCGAAGAGTTGATTGAGCTCTTATTAATAGGTGGCTGTTGTTGACGGCCTGCTCTCAGAGCTCCACACTTATCACATTAAAGCCTCCATCCAGCTCTTCTTACAGAGGCGAGGACATGTTGCCAATGAAGAGGGCATCTGGCGCAAACAGCGACGCAGTTCATTTTACACTATGTTGTCGGTGCCATATTAAATAGGCGCAGAATATAAAAAAGAATTGATCACAGATCAAAGGTGTCTGTTTTTGGATGGATGAGTCTTTGATGTAGGCTATTCCCCTGTGCTAGCTATCCTTTCACTGGGAGATGAGTTAGTTTGTTACATTTGTTTCTTTTTTTTGACAGCTGAGAGTTACCGTCTGGTCCTTGTGCACCAAAGCCGTATCTTACATCAAGTATCCCAAGGCATGTCAGAAGGGTAAGTACGTGAGTATATTTGTGTGTTTTTCTACGTCAGCGAGAGGACCTGGGGACAGTGCCACACTGACTGGCTGATATATGGGCTCGTGAATCGCGTCCCTCCCTGTCCTTTGACCTTAGGGCCTATGGGCCATCTGCTGACAGCTGGAGCCCTCTTCAGTAAATGGTGCATGCTCGCCATAACCTTTCTGTCAGCGGCCGGTGGAGTTATTGTCTTGGGCTCTAACCACTACCCAAAAGGTTCACACACCACCACCACCACCACTACGTGACCCAAGCACCGTTGGAGCCACCGTATAAATAATCCAGCAATGCCAACCACTTGCCGCTGAAGGCCTCTTGATAATTACACTCCAATAGACTGTGCTGTACAGCACACCAAGGCTATAGGTACAGTCTCCAATTGGGTTCACATGACGACTAAATGAGCACAAATCATTTTGGACTGATGTGTCCACTAGATTAACATAATGTAGGTCTAAAGCATATCATTGTACTTTTGCATCTGCAAATTGTCCTCTATCCCAACATTGTCTTTGTACAACGACTTGACAATTAGTAGTTGAGTCAGGTGTGCTTGTGTGGGGCAAGAACATAAATGTGCAACCTTTGGCACTTGAGGACTGAATTTGACACTGTTAAATACCGTTTCCTGTGAAGTGTTGACCCCCTTATCTGTCGTTCCAGGGATAGACTTCAGCAGGGACGGCTGCTACATGGCCCTAGCAGAGCGCCGCGACTGCAAAGACTACGTTAGCATGTTTGTGTGTGACGACTGGCACCTACTGAGGGTGAGCGCCCCTCCGAGCTCGCACCACGGGAGTGTCCAAAAACCTTTGGATTTGCATTTTAGTTTGATACATGCATACATATACTGAGTATACAAAACATTAGGAACACTTTCAATTCATCAGGGCATGGACTGGGTGGTGGACCATTCTTGATACACGCGGGAAACCTTTGAGCGTGAAAAACCTAGCAGCGTTGCAGTTCTTGACACGCAAAACAGTGTGCCTGACACCTACTACCATACCCAGTTCACTTAAATATTTTGTCTTGCCCATTCACCCTCTGAATGGCACACATACACAATCTGTCCCAATTGTCTCAAGGCTAAGAAATCCTTCTTTAACCTGTCTCCTCCCCTTCATCTACACTGATTTGAAGTGGATTTAACAAGTGACATCAATAAGGGATCATAGCTTTCACCTGGATTCACCTGGTCAGTCTGTCATGGAAAGAGCTTGTGTTCCCAATGTTTTGTACGCTCAGTGTACATTTTGACACATTGTAAAGTGGGACCCAAACCACAGATGCGCAGTTTGTCCCTGTCTATGTTCTGCTAATTGTCTGGATCCTCTTGTTTGACCTCCATGTCTACCTTTCAAAGCACTTTGAAACAGAGACCCAGGACTTGGCGGGGGTGGAGTGGTCTCCTAATGGCTGTGTTCTGGCTGTGTGGGACAGCTGTTTAGAGGTAAGCCATTGGGAAATTAGTTGACAATATGTTGACATAGAGTGGGAACCCTGAGTATGTGTGTGTGAACTAGTGTTGTGTGTGCGCGCGCTCCCCAGTACAAGGTGCTGCTGTACTCGCTGGACGGCCGGCTGCTGTCCACCTTCAGTGCGTATGAGTGGTCGCTGGGCATCAAGTCTCTGGCCTGGAGTCCCAGCAGCCAGTTCCTGGCCATCGGCAGCTATGATGAAAAGGTCTGGGCTCTGTCTCCTCCTTCTCTTCCTATAGGCTTAGGGTGCCTTCCAGATGCACACATTCTGTGCAACCGGTGCAGATCAGTGTTCATTTTGTTAAATTATTGTTAATTTAGTCAATTACCTATTTTTCCTGATAAACGATTGATGATAACTACAAATGCCTTGGCAAAAAACTAACTATTACAAATGACTTTTCATTTTAGTTGCTGAAATTGTAACTAGACGAGAATTCCACGTGAGACTAATGGTCATTCAATTTGACATGAAGCTCCTTTTCATCTGTTTTGTCCACTGATAAGCATGCATGCCTTAGTAGAATATTTAATGAAATCCTCTCATTGGCCGATAACGTCTTTCAGTCGCGCGGGCTGCTTGAGCAGACCCGGCTCTCCCACACACAGCTCCCAGGCGGTCACTTAAATCACTATTTTCTCTTTTCAACTGATGCGCAGCCAGGACACTTCAATTTTAACTTGCCTCAATTAGAAACAGTAATGTATTTGATAATCTTTGCTTTCATATAGGCCAATTTGGCTCTGTTCACACAATGTGCACTGTAATTCATCTGTGTTCCCACTCTCGCGTTTCCGCAAATGCAAGTTGCAGTTGCTTTTTTCCGACATTTAATACTTCTGCCGTTCTTGGAAAGCTCATTCTCCCCTTTAAGGAAACCACTGTTATACATCCCCCTCTGACAGTTATGATGGGGAGAAAATCAGAGCTGTAAATAGTTTAACCTGTAGCCAAGGCTTTATAGCCATATGGTTCATTATTGCTGGTATTGGTTCAAATCTGCCACAATAGCAATGTTGCCAGCTAAGGTATAGGAGGGGATAGTAGGCCTAGCTGGACAATACTATCTGCACAAGTTTTAGTTATGTATTGGATAAAATGCACTGACTTATGTGACTGATAACTCAAACTAACGAAGTATGAAATTACTAAAATGTGACGAGTAAACTGTATTTTAAGACTAAATCTAAAATAGCTGCCAAAATTAACACTGGTGTAGATTATCTTCTCAGGAACCACATCAATATAATATAAACTCTTATCCTGGAATTGCTATCGTGCGCATGCCTGAACAGAAAAGTGATTATTGGTCAAGTCCCATTCCAAACATTTGGGGCTGGTTTCCCAGACACAGATTAGGCGTAGTCCTGTAATGAAAGCACTTTCAATGGAGAATGCATTCTGTGTCTGGAATATCAGCCCATAGACATGGAGAAAAGACTAGAAGGAATTGAAGCTATTTTAGACTATAGTGACATGGACTTGGTGTATGACTGATGAGGTGGTCTTACCTGATGGTTTTGATCATGTCCCACTCAGGTGCGGATCCTAAACCACATCACCTGGAAGAAAGTGACTGAGTTTGACCACCCAGCCACCATCAACAATACTAAAGCTGTGAGTACTCTTTCCAATTAGTAAATGTCAGTTATGGGATGACCTAACATGCTGAGGGGTAGGGGTTAAGGGTCAATACAACTTTCACTAGTGTGCCCTTACTCTCTACTACTCTCCGTCAATCATTCTTAACCCTCTATTCCCCCTCCCTGTCCTTCCCCCATTCTACTTCTTAATCTCTACTAATATGTTAATTGATTGAACTGATGGCAAGAAAGACCAGTTGCAGTTAAATACACTGCTCAAAAAAATAAAGGGAACACTTAAACAACACAATGTAACTCCAAGTCAATCACACTTCTGTGAAATCAAACTGTCCACTTAGGAAGCAACACTGATTGACAATACATTTCACATGCTGTTGTGCAAATGGAATAGACAACAGGTGGAAATTATAGGCAATTAGCAAGATACCCCCAATAAAGGACTGGTTTTGCAGCTGGTGACCACAGACCACTTCTCAGTTCCTATGCTTCCTGGCTGGTGTTTTGGTCACTTTTGAATGCTGGCGGTGCTTTCACTCTAGTGGTAGCATGAGACGGAGTCTACAACCCACACAAGTGGCTCAGGTAGTGCAGCACATCCAGGATGGCACATCAATGCGAGCTGTGGCAAGAAGGTTTGCTGTGTCTGTCAGCGTAGTGTCCAGAGCATGGAGGCGCTACCAGGAGACAGGCCAGTACATCAGGAGACGTGGAGGAGGCCGTAGGAGGGCAACAACCCAGCAGCAGGACTGCTACCTCCGCCTTTGTGCAAGGAGGAGCAGGTGGAGCACTGCCAGAGCCCTGCAAAATGACCTCCAGCAGGCCACAAATGTGCATGTGTCTGCTCAAACGGTCAGAAACAGACTCCATGAGGGTGGTATGAGGGCCCGACGTCCACAGGTGGGGGTTGTGCTTACAGCCCAACACCGTGCAGGACGTTTGGCATTTGCCAGAGAACACCAAGATTGGCAAATTCGCCACTGGCGCCCTGTGCTCTTCACAGATGAAAGCAGGTTCACACTGAGCACGTGACAGACGTGACAGAGTCTGGAGACGCCGTGGAGAACGTTCTGCTGCCTGCAACATCCTCCAGCATGACCGGTTTGGCGGTGGGTCAATCATGGTGTGGGGTGGCATTTCTTTGGGGGGCCGCACAGCCCTCCATGTACTCGCCAGAGGTAGCCTGACTGCCATTAGGTACCGAGATGAGATCCTCAGACCCCTTGTGAGACCATATGCTGGTGCGGTTGGCCCTGGGTTCCTCCTAATGCAAGACAATGCTAGACCTCATGTGGCTGGAGTGTGTCAGCAGTTCCTGCAAGAGGAAGGCATTGATGCTATGGACTGGCCCGCCCGTTCCCCAGACCTGAATCCAATTGAGCACATCTGGGACATCATGTCTCGCTCCATCCACCAACGCCACGTTGCACCACAGACTGTCCAGGAGTTGGTGGATGCTTTAGTCCAGGTCTGGGAGGAGATCCCTCAGGAGACCATCCGCCACCTCATCAGGAGCATGCCCAGGCGTTGTAGGGAGGTCATACAGGCACGTGGAGGCCACACACACGACTGAGCCTCATTTTGACTTGTTTTAAGGACATTACATCAAAGTTGGATCAGCCTGTAGTGTGGTTTTCCACTTTAATTTTGAGGGTGACTCCAAATCCAGACCTCCATGGGTTGATAAATTTGATTTCCATTGATAATTTTTGTGTGATTTTGTTGTCAGCACATTCAACTATGTAAAGAAAAAAGTATTTAATAAGATTATTTCATTCATTCAGATCTAGGATGTGTTATTTTAGTGTTCCCTTAATTTTTTTGAGCAGTGTATATTTATAAACTGGGTGGTTCGAGCCCTGAATGCTGATTTGGCTTAAAGCTGTGGTATATCAGACCGTATACCACGGGTAAGACAAAACATGTATTTTTACTGCCCTAATTACGTGGGTAACCAGTTTATAATACCAATAAGGGACCTCGGGAGTTTGTGATTATGTCCATTATACCATGGCTAAGGGCTGTGTCATGGCACTCCGTGTTGCGTCTTGCAAAACAGCCCTAAGCCGTTGTATATTGGCATTATACCCACACCCCCTCGGGCCTTATTGCTTAAATATACACAGTGTACAAAACACTAAGGAACCCTTCCTAATATTGAGTTGCACTCCCCCCGCTTTGCCCTCAGAACAGCCTCAATTCGTCGGGGCATGGACTCTACAAGGTGTCGAAAGCGTTCCACAGGGATGCGGGCCCATGTTGACTCCAATGCTTCCCACAGTTGTGTCAAGTTTGCTGGATGTCCTTTGGGTGGTGGAACATTCTTGATACACACAGGAAACTGTTGAGTGTGAAAAATCCAGCAGCATTGCAGTTCTTGACACAAACCGGTGCGCCTTTCACCTACTACCAGACCCCGTTCAAAGGCACTTAAAAATGTTGTCTTGCCCATTCACCCTCTCAATGGCACACATACACAATCCATGTCTGAATTGTCAAGGCTTAAAAATCCTTCTTTAACCTGTCTCCTCCCTTTCATCTACACTGAAGTGGATTTAACAAGTGAGTGACATCAATAAGGGATCATAGCTTTCACCTGGTCAGTCTGTCATGGAAAGAGCAGTTGTCCTTAATGTTTTGTTACACTAAGTGTATATACACTACATTACCAAAAGTATGTGGACACCTGCTCGTCGAACATCTCATTCCAAAATCATGGGCATTAATATGGAGTTGCTCCCCCCTTTTCTGCTATAACAGCCTCCACTCTTCTGGGAAGGCTTTCTACTAGATGTTGGAACGTTGCTGAGGGGACTTGCTTCCATTTAGTGAGGTCGGGCACTGATGTTGGGCGATTAGGCCTGGCTCGCAGTTGGCGTTCCAATTCATCCCAAAGGTGTTAAATGGGGTTGAGGTCAGAGCTCTGTGCAGGCCAGTGAAGTTCTTCCACACCGATCTCGATAAACCATTTCTGTATGGATCTCGCTTTGTGCACGGGGGCATTGTCATGCTGAAACAGGAAAGGGCCTTCCCCAAACTGTTGCCACAAAGTTGGAAGCACAGAATCGTCTAGCGTAAAAATGTCCCTTCACTGGAACTAAGAGGCCTGAACCATGGAAAAACAGCCCCAGACCATTATTCATCCTCCATCAAACTGTATAGTCGGCACTATGCATTCAGGCATCCGCCAAACCCATATTCGTCCGTCGGACTGCCAGATGGTGAAGCGTGATTCATCACTCCAGAGAATGCGTTTCCACTGCTCGAGTCCAATGGCGGCGAGCTTTAGACCACTCCAGCTGACGCTTGGCATTGCGCATGGTGATCTTAGGCTTGTGTGCGGCTGCTCAGCCATAGAAACCCATTTCATGAAGCTCCCGACGAACAGTTATTGTGCTGATGTTGCTTCCAGAGGCAGTTTGGAACTCGGTAGTGAGTGTTGCAACCGAGGACAGACTAATTTTACACGCTACGCGCTTCAGCACTCGGCGGTCCTGTTCTGTGAGCTTGTGTCGCCTACCACTTTGTGGCTCCTAGATGTTACCACTTCACAATAACAGCACTTACAGTTGACCGGGGCAGCTCTAGCAGGGCAGAGATTTGACGAACTGACTTGTTGGAAAGGTGGCATCCTATGACCGTGCCACGTTGAAAGTCACCGAGCTCTTCAGTAAGGCCATTCTACTGCCAATGTTTGTCTATGGAGATTGCATGGCTGTGTGCTCGATTTTATACACCAGTCAGCAACGGTGTGGCTGAAATAGACGAATCCACTAATTTGAAGGGGTGTCCACATAATTTTGTCCGTGTATGTAGATATACAACTTTCAAAATATAGAACTACAGCTGGTATGATGCAAAATGCATCATACCAGCTAGCTGTATTTTGAAAGTTCTCACTCTCTCCTCTGCTACAGTACTCACACACCATTTCATGTCTCCTTCTACTGCTTTATATGTCATGTCCAAAGTAATTGCTTGAAACACGATGCTTTTAATCTAAAGAAAAATAAAATCTGCTTTTAATTGTGAGCAAGAGCTGCGAAAGGACCATTATTTACCTACCAGGGCACTTTCTGTCCAAATCTTTTGCTGTCACTCTTAATGCTTGGGTGTAGATGAGGAAGTGTTGACCATGCCAGGTGACTGACTGGAGCTTGTGTTGTCAGGTGATCTACAAGGAGGTGGAGAGGAGGCCGGTGGTGGGGAGTGCGGACCTGTCCATCCAGCAACACATCACCATGGGGAGCACCCTCTTCAACACACAGAGTAAATGTGAGCGCAACTCATCACGCCACACATGGCAGCGGATATTAGCCAACAGGAGTGTACATTTTAATTAAATATGCAACATTATTAGCTGTAACTCTTTCATTAAACCAACATTATGAAAAGTATTATAAGAAAATATGCAATTTGGCATAAAGATTGACTTGAAATTGAGATGGTATAACTGACTCCAATGTTCTCAATAACCCATATTCAGCATACTCTTTATTAGTAAACTGGAAAATCAACAGTTTAATCACAGAGTCTATATCAGACTGTCAAAATTGTCTGGCTGACTTATTGATCCTGCTTTTGTGGTGCACGCCTCTGTTGTAGATGAGATCTGCCCATTGCCAGTCCAGGTACCTGTGGTCAAACCTGACCTGGACCGTGCCAACCCTAAAGTCGGGGTCTCCTCCATGGCTTTCAGCTCGGACAACCGCTACCTGGCCACGAAGAATGGTAAGGGACAGATTCACACTGGAACGTTGCTCTACTAGCCACAGGTGTCAAATCTGCAGACCCACAAACAGACCCTTTACCAACCAGGGTTAGATGTTGTCAATCATTTTCTGTATTGTTTGTATAGCATTTGGTGGCTGTCACAGAATTACTAGTCCCATTTAATTGTATGGTGGCTGTAGGACAATGACTGTGCTGACTCTGGCGTGTGCGCCTACCCCTGCAGACAACATGGCCTGCGTGGTGTGGGTATGGGACATGCAGAGGCTGGGGCTGCTGGCGGTTCTGGAGCAGACGTCGGCCGTGCGCTGCTTCCAGTGGGACCCCCGTCGACCCCGTCTGGCCCTTTGCACCGGCAACGCCAAGCTCTACCTCTGGTCCCCCGCAGGCTGCGTCTCTGTCCAGGTCCCCGCTGAAGGTACTGTAGCTGTGACCCGGCCGCCATCGTCACCACAAACCCCATAGCATGTGAAGTCAAACATCACTTATCATGGAGTGCTGGGTTTTAATAAAACCGTGTAGTAGTCAAGCACAGTCAAATGCTCCAACATGTACCTTTATTGGTTAACAATGGATCTTCATCAGGTCACCACAAAAGCCACGCAAATAGAACAGTGTTTCCCAAACCTCTTCAAGTTAAATCAAGTACTCGGATAGAACGAATAAGCTGGGGGTACTCGAAGAGGTATGGTAAATATTGAAATGGAGGAACAGCACACTGGTAGGGACACTTTAGCTTGGCATATTTGAGCAGTAGGTGGAGATCCTTAACGCCACTTTTGTGTCCCTCCTTCCTAGGTGGTTTCCAGGTGCAATCACTGAATTGGCACTGCAGTGGAGACTCCCTGATCCTGCTGGGGAAAGAGCAGCTGTGTCTGTGCTACATGGAGACGGAGGAGGAAGAGGACAACGACAAGTGAAACAGCCCCACATCCTCTCTCCTATGGGGCCAGAGCATTAAGATTAGTACTCCAAAGACTGTCTGACCCACTTCCAGACACCATGCTCAATCAGGGCTGTGGTCTGCACTCTGACAGTCAACTCCATGGCCATTAAACAGTGGTCATGTACTTGCACTGGTCAGTGTTGGCCATCCCTGCAGGTAACGTTCCACTTATTTAGGGGAGGACCACAATATAGGGCAGGCGATGAATGAGGTCATATTAAAGCTCCTGTAGTATTTGTTAAAAGATAATGTTTACAAAGTCTATTTGTCAAATCTGTCATTTTTAATCATTAAGTATTTGATTTGTGTTGATGTCTAGAGGTAACAATTATTTTGTAATAAAGTTTGCTACGAATACCCGTTTACAAGTTTTGGATTCAGACAAAGACAGGAATGGTTAGACAGTTGCTCTAAATTCAATCACTCTCCAAAGGCCTCAAACAGTTGGAATGTTCTGCTGTGGACGAGAATGGAAAGGGGGGAAAATGTAGTGCTGGTTTCCTCAGACACAGATTAAGGCAGGGTGATGTGTCTGTCTGTAGTCGTTTGTTCAAAAAAAGCTTTAGGGCTCGATTCAATCCGTATTGCCAAAGTTCAGTGCAATAGGGTGGCTCTTCTGCGATACAGATTAAGCCTAGTCCTAGACTAGGGCCTAGATTCAATCTGTATGGGAAACTTTTTCCCACTTTGACCAAATCCCCAGAGTACTTCAAACCGGGTTTACATGAACCTGCATTGTAAGAAACAATGCCACAAGACATTTTGATAAGTATTTATTTAATATAGTAAGAGTTAAGAGTCAAACTAATCTGCAAATGGGTCGGATATCAGATTTACTTCATACAAAACAATGTAGGCAATTGTCTTACGTTGGTGACCGTGCTACAAATAAAGCATTGACCATAAAGTCAATTTTATTTTAGTGACACTCAAAACACTTAATTTTGAAATCTGCATCAATTCATGAAATGTTATTCTGGAGCATTTTCCAAATTGAACAGAGACTGCATGCAAACCCAACATGCAAGTTACATTTAGACCAGAAAAAAGGTAGTTGGACAGACATTAGTTCATTGGAGCAGTTAAAGCATGATCATTGAATCACTGTGCAGCGCTGATACATTTACATTTGATGGAGCAGACAAGAGGTTATGAGATGTTGCAGTGCTCGTTTAGGTTGAGACAGATGGGGGGGTATTTGTGAGGTTTCTCTGGGTGTCAGCACGTGGGAGTATAGGGGAATGAGGAGGTGGATGTTCTCGCCGAGCAAGCACTCAAGCATTCTAATGTTGACATGGAAGTGACAAATCAGAAAAGCAGAGGCCAAGGGGGTAAATAAGTGGTTAAAAACAAATAGCAAGAGTTGTGGAACAGGGAGGGGAAAGGGAAGACACCTGTAAGATCCATTAAAAGGTGGGGGCAGGGAGGAAAAAAACTACAGCATGGAACTATAATTCACTATAGTCCTTTCCAAATACTTTAAATTAGAACAGAAATGGATTTACCCCTCCACAGTTTTCATTTTAGCCCAGGGTTCTCCAACCCTAATCTAACACACCTGACTATAGTAATTAGCTGGTTGATAAACTGAACCAGGTTAGTTACAACTGGGGTTGGAGCAAAATCCTACAGAAGGGTAGCTCTCCAGGAACAGGGTTGGAGAGCCCTGTCTTAGCCTATCTAGTTATTTTAGAAATACCCAAGTTTGGTAGCCTATGCTGTTGCATACACTTTCTGGACATGGGCATGGTTGTTCATGCGGCGGTTACAATGTATCACTGATCAAACGTTCTCAAAAAGGTCCGCGGCAAAACGAGTTTGGTAAGGGGAGACATTTTTACTAATCTAATTGAGGCTGATATTTCAAACGCTGTATCCAATTTCAGAGTTGCTTTTTTCTTTGAGGGCTAATCGGGCACAGGCCACAAATTGGGGACTCTCCCCAGAAATCGGGGACATCTGGTCACCCTACTCTTCGGTTTATATCGGAGTTAATTATATAAAAGACTGACCATGACTACAGCCCTAACTAGTTTTTTACTTGAATAGTTGACTAATACATCATGTAATCTAAGATGGCTACCATTTTCATTTCCACATGGCATTTTTAAAAATGATTTATGGTCAAAACTATGGCCAAGTTATTCAGGCGGTTGGTAATATTGATAAGACTATTTTAGCCTCCTTGCAAGCTTCTGTGTATTTGAATAGTAGATCGTTTGGTGCAACCACGGCCATATGTGTGGAAGGGATTTTTTTCCTTCTAGTCATTCATATACACCGGTCAACACTAAGAATCAAACAGGTATGAAAACATACCTCAATCCAGGCATAGGCGTTGTGGGATAATTAACAGTAAAACAATATCTGACGACAAATCAAGAAGATTGAAATACTGCTAGTTTGGAATTAAACTGCCTTTGTCGTCATCATGCTAAAGTAGCACATAATATTCCACAACACTTCCCCGGCAGCTACTCACCCCAACGTTAGGCATCACATTTTCATGGAACCTAATGCGCTGCTTTTGCATTAACTAGCCTAGCACGAGGACGATAAAGGCAGTGTGTTTTCTAGAAATGGAGACGAGTAGGCCTAATCAATTTAAGAAAATTGGCACGGGGATATTTGTAATTGGGCTTCAATGCTTGCACCAAACATAACGTAAATAAACACTAACAGTCAGAATAACTTGGCCATAGTTTTGACAAATAACTGGGAAAAGGCGGATTGTAGCACCGGCAGCCGCATTCATTCTCTAATCTTACCACTCTACAATGTCCCAATATGATGGATTTTAAAGCCAATATGGCTGATGCTAAAATCTGCTATTTTGCAAGGCGTTTCAGGTTGAAAATAATGGGTTCACCGTTTGATCAGGCAAAGCTCATTGCGTCGATTTATCTGTAGTAACGCTTAAACCTCAAGTTAAGATCCTAACCATGCCCTTGTACTGCACAAAAGGCCCATGATAATGTTAACTTCCATGGACACTCAGTCGGGTTCACCTAGCAGCATCAGGTCTGAATTACAGTATATTCACAATCGCAAGGTAAACAGTATGCACTGTACCAACAACTAGCGACATTCCCTAATCGCACAAACACACCAAATTCACATAGGTCTCTCCACTCAGGGGTTAAATAATTATGACAAATGGAAAACATACCTCTGCATGAGAGCACTGGGGCAGGAGTGGAGAGAACTCAGGCTGACTGCACACCACGACTGCCCGCCAGTGAGCCATGTCATACTCAAGCTTTGGGTATGACACAGCCACATTGTCGGCATTCCACGAGCATATACACACACAGTTTGACAGCGCTCCCACTGCTGTGGAATAAGAGGGTCACTCAGTGGGAAACATTAGAAGCCAATCTTGCCCCTGGTCATGGAGTAGCCCAGCTTGGCCTCGTTGTTGATGAAGGACATGATTCCCAGGTAGGTCTCGATGAGGAGGGGCCTCTCTAGGATCAGAACTCCGTTGGCCCTGCCCGGAATGGGGAACTCCTTGTGGGCCTTCTTCACTGCCTGAACCAGCTGGGTCCGGAAGATGTCCACCTGACAGAAAAGGAGAGCAGCTCTGTGTTTAATATACCAAGCTCCCATGTTAACATGAATATTACATTTAAATGGGGGGAGGTTGCAACGTAAATGTTTTACCTGGCAGAGAGAGGCCACTTTTTCATCGGCACGGGCCATGGTGTGCTCAGTGAAGGTGACATAGGGCATGTCTGTGGACCAGGGATTCCAGCGGTTCACGAAGGAGGGGCGTGGGCGTTTGTCCCACTGAACCCGAATCCCATAGCCCTCCCTCCTGTAGAGACACACACTTAGCACATATTGTAATGCCAGTGTGCTGGGAGTAATCAATTAATAGTGGGTCGTGTTCAGTGGGCACGAGAGGAGAAAAGCTTTAGAAACAGAAGATGTATCCATACTTATCCAATAAGCGTTCCTAATTTTCAATTTCAAAATGTTTTCAGTTTCCATGCCTACTAAACACGTCTGACTGCTGAGAGTATTCGGCCCTGTCCAGAAACAACCTCAAGCCCTCTTACCCCATAGCGACTTGAGTAGACTCAACATACTTGGATATGTACAGTGGGGGGAAAAAAGTATTTAGTCAGCCACCAATTGTGCAAGTTCTCCCACTTAAAAAGATGAGAGAGGCCTGTAATTTTCATCATAGGTACACGTCAACTATGACAGACAAATTGAGGAAAAAATCCAGAAAATCACATTGTATGATTTTTTATGAATTTATTTGCAAATTATGGTGGAAAATAAGTATTTGGTCACCTACAAACAAGCAAGATTTTTGGCTCTCACAGACCTGTAACAACTTCTTTAAGAGGCTCCTCTGTCCTCCACTCATTACCTGTATTAATGGCACCTGCTTGAACTTGTTATCAGTATAAAAGACACCTGTCCACAACCTCAAACAGTCACACTCCAAACTCCACTATGGCCAAGACCAAAGAGCTGTCAAAGGACACCAGAAACAATATTGTAGACCTGCACCAGGCTGGGAAGACTGAATCTGCAATAGGTAAGCAGCTTGGTTTAAAGAAATCAACTGTGGGAGCAATTATTAGGAAATGGAAGACATACAAAACCACTGATAATCTCCCTCGATCTGGGGCTCCACGCAAGATCTCACCCCGTGGGGTCAAAATGATCACAAGAACGGTGAGCAAAAATCCCAGAACCACACTGGGGGACCTAGTGAATGACCTGCAGAGAGCTGGGACCAAAGTTACAAAGCCTACCATCAGTAACACACTACGCCGCCAGGGACTCAAATCCTGCAGTGCCAGACGTGTCCCCCTGCTTAAGCCAGTACATGTCCAGGCCCGTCTGAAGTTTGCTAGAGTGCATTTGGATGATCCAGAAGAGGATTGGGAGAATGTCATATGGTCAGATGAAACCAAAATATAACTTTTTGGTAAAAACTCAACTTGTCGTGTTTGGAGGACAAAGAATGCTGAGTTGCATCCAACGAACACCATACCTACTGTGAAGCATGGGGATGGAAACATCATGCTTTGGGGCTGTTTTTCTGCAAAGGGACCAGGACGACTGATCCGTGTAAAGGAAAGAATGAATGGGGCCATGTATCGTGAGTTTTTGAGTGAAAACCTCCTTCCATCAGCAAGGGCATTGAAGATGAAACGTGTCTGGGTCTTTCAGCATGACAATGATCCCAACCACACCGCCCGGGCAACGAAGGAGTGGCTTCGTAAGAAGCATTTCAAGGTCCTGGAGTGGCCTAGCCAGTCTCCAGATCTCAACCCCATAGAAAATCTTTGGAGGGAGTTGAAAGTCCGTGTTGCCCAGCGACAGCCCCAAAACATCATAGAGGAGATCTGCATGGAGGAATGGGCCAAAATACCAGCAACAGTGTGTGAAAACCTTGTGAAGACTTACAGAAAACGTTTGACCTGTGTCATTGCCAACAAAGGGTATATAACAAAGTATTGAGAAACTTTTGTTATTGACCAAATACTTATTTTCCACCATAATTTGCAAATAAATTCATTAAAAATCCTACAATGTGATTTTCTGGATTTTTTTTTTCTTCCATTTTGTCTGTCATAGTTGACGTGTACCTATGATGAAAATTACAGGCCTCTCATCTTTTTAAGTGGGAGAACTTGCACAATTGGTGGCTGACTAAATACTTTTTTCCCCCACTGTATAAGCAATATGGCAACATTTCCACCAAGCCTATCCCAAGTGAATGTTAGCCTTCTACCATATTGCTTATACTGTACATATCCAATTATTTCAGAACAGCGACACAAGTGGCTTGTGTTGTGGGTAAGTACAGTGTCTCTGGACAGGACAATAGCTCGTGGCTCTTACTTGTTGAGGGATTTGGGCGGGAACTCAAACTCGCCCACTGAGATGGTGTCCACGGCATTAAGGGAGATCCTGATGACCTGCTGACACAGCAGGTTGATGAAGTCATACTTGCAAACCAGCAGGGACCTGTTAGAAACCCAAGAGGGACAACATGGCAAATTAAGTAAAGAGTGTGCAAACTTTCATGCAAGTTTGATGCCTTTATCATCACGCATATCATAACCGCATCAAGGCTTTCATTCAACGGGCTAACATGGTCCTGTGGTGCTCAGACAACCTGAGTGTAATGCCAGTCGGCAACATAAGTGTATCAAATAATATGGGAATGGATTCCTCCAATAGGTTCAAATGGATATTCATTCATAACATTTGCCACTAATCATTTGGTTTACCTGTCAGTTATGAGCACCAGTCTCTCCTTCTCGTTGTTCCAGTGGTCAACTCTAAGGGAAACATTATTACATTGAAATTTAGCACTCTCATTTGTAGTGAAATAATGTAGAGATATTCATGAAAATATGAAGTCACAATGGTGCCAAGGGGTTGTGTGATTTTTCCTACCAATTGGCATATGCTGGCAGAATATAGTTTTTCATTGAGATTGTATGTCTTAACCGGATAAATAAACATGCCTTTTTAAGCATTACAGGGCATTTAATTGCTCCCAAAATATATTATCCTCGCCTCTCCTTTGCACTAATATAAAGTTTATTTACCACGTCCACAGGAAACAGGTGTAAAACAGTAGTGAAATTCTTACCTTGAGAGCTCTTTCCCAACAATGCAGTGATGATAATATAATAATAAAAGAACTACGATGTGAGTTAGAAACACGAGAATGCAAGTATATACAGGTCAGTGCCACTAGCTTATTCAATGTGCGGGTTTATACATACATAAAGTGACTGCTAGTAGGATATACAGTGCCTTCAGAATGTATTCACACCCCTTGACTTTTTCCACATTTTGTTGTGTTACAGCCTGAATTTAAAATTGATTACATTTAGATTGTGTCACGCTAGTTAGAATTGCCTTGTGAAACTACATCGGTTTCCACAAGTTAATTGGACTCTGGGGAAGTCGATAAAAGGGCCTCATCGCCAAACCCCTGAAGTATCCCTTTAATAGGCGAATGACATTCTGTCACGCTTGCTAATAGTGACGAGGTCACATTAATAACACTACCATATAACTACCTGCTATGCTGATGAGGTAGTATAAACACTACTGTATGAATACCTGCTATGCCTGTGAGATAGGAAGCGATGTGAAGTATATTGTGCTTACTAGCCATTCAGACCAGCCTTATTGATTGAACTTTCTTAAACACCATTGTTTAACATGATTTTGGAATAACTACCTCATCTCTGTACCCCATACATGCTGTACAATTATCTGTAAGGTCCCTCAGTCGAGCAGTGAATTTCTAAACACAGATTCAACCAAAGACCAGGGAGGTTTTCCAATGCCTCGCAAAGGGCACCTATTGGTATATGGGTAAAAAAGTTAAAAAGCAGACACTGAATATACTTTTGAGCATGGTGAAGTTATTAATTACACTTTGGATGGTGAGTCAATACACCCCTTCACTACAAAGATACAGGGTCCTTCCGGAGAGGAAGGAAACCGCTCAGGGATTTCACCATGAGGCCAATGGTGACTTTAAAACAGTTAGAGTTTAATGGCTGTGATAGGAGAAAACTGAGGATGGCTCAACAACTCCCCAATACTAACTTCATAGATTTTTATCTATGATGCCTCTGTCTCTAGTGCCCCCTGCTGTCGTAACAATGAAGTACAGACATATACTGAGGTTGGTGGGTGCATAGAAAGACTATCAATTCTATTAGTTCTGGGTGTTCGAGATTATGAGTGGGTGAACCAATAATATGAATGGACATGGTCATCGATCACGTGAAACCATTCATTCCTATGTGAAGACTCGATAGCGCATTGAAGCCAAATGAAGGCGGCTAAACTGATTTCTATGGGTGGGTTAATCTCTCGTGGACAGTGCACGTAACATAACTTCTGACGCAATTGTGCAAGATATTTAGTTCATGGAAACATAACATTGTCTGTGCTATCCGAAAACCTTGGGACGCCCCTACCCCATTGAAGTTTAAATGTAAAATGGTTAAGGTTAGGTAAGGGTTATGGTTATGGGGTTAAGGTACCCCATTCATAGACGCTAACAACCTTTAGCGCCTATTGACGATAGTTTATTCTGAAAGGGGAGTTAAGAGCCCTGACGCTTACGCTAAACGTTAACACGCATTGCTTGCGGTATGGTTTTGGAAACATAATGAACATCTTTCATATCAACGAGAAATCATTTTCAAAAAACAAAAAGGTAAAATTACTACAGCTTTTTAATAGGATTCCCACACGGCCATAGTTTTGTTACAGTGCTTGTTTACGGAACAGAGTGGACCACCTGTGCTAATTAGCCATCTGTGTCTCCGTACAACTGTGTGTAAACGGAAGACAGACGGCCAAACGTGGTCACTGAAAAATACTGTCAACTGCAACTGTTAAAACAGTGTATAGTAAGTGTGTATTTTGATGTGATGTGAAAAGTAGAGGGATTTATTTTTTCTAGAACCGTACCGCAACTGAGAATCGATTCACGTTTAGATTGAAGTATTTGGCTGTTTTGGCTTCCAGAGCCAATTCGCCTTTAAAACAGAACATGTATCGTCCTTGGACTATAAGGAGTAACGTTAGGCTCCTTTAGTCCATTATTGGCCTAGGGTTAGGGTAGAGACATCCCAAGTAATCCCGTATAGCACTGACCGTCATAACATGCGCTGTTTGAGCTACTCCAGGAAGTGACGTAGCAGGCTAGCTCAGTGCTGCCCTCTCCTTGAGTAGCTCAAGTTGAAGGCCGACCGGGGTACTGCAGGCTTCCATTAGCAACTCAATTATCTTTTTAACTTCTGTGTGCGATTTAAAAACAATTGGTTCAAGGACATACATTTGGTGTATCAGAAGCAATTATTGGCAACTATAGAATGGTGAGGAGGAACTCCGCGGAGCGTTCATGTCCGGAAGTAATTTAGCCATTCATTGTAGCATTGGCGCTCTGTAGAGTTGCTATTTTCTAAGTTCTTGTGTCAATTAACTCATGACATTCCTATATTACACATTATACTAATAAAGTCAGATTTAAAATCAACAAATACAATAGCCGTTTAAAAATGGTTAAGGGTACAAAACTATATATATATATATGTGGCTGTGTTGGCAAAATCACTACATATCCCATTGAGGCAAGCAGGGAGAGGCTGGCAGTTGTCACCGTTCCAAGACCAGTCAGAAACGTCCAGCTAACCCTACGCCAATGGATCTCAAAACTCAACTTGGATCCACATTAGGTAGTTATGATATCCTTCGCCACTGCAGTCTTAACAACAGGACAACTCGAACCAGTCATGACTATTCAAAAAAAGAAATCTAGTTTCTTTCCAACAAATGTCTTATACTGAAAAAATATATAAAAATGCAACATGTAAAGTGTTGGTCCCATATTTCATGAGCTGAAATAATTTCCCAGAAATGTTCCATACGCACAAAAAGCTTCTCTTTCAAATGGTGTACACAAATTTGTTTACATCCCTGTTAGTGAGCATTTATCCTTTGCCAAGATAATCCATCCACCTGACAGGTGTGGCATATCAAGAAGCTGATAAAACAGCATGATCATTAAACAGGTGCACCGTGTGCTGGGGACAATAAAAGGCCACTAAAATGTGCAGTTGTCACAACACAATGCCACAGATGTCTCAAGTTGAGGGAGCGTGCAATTGGCATGCTCACTGCAGGAATGTCTACCAGAGCTGTTGCCAGATAATTGTATGTTAATTTCTCTACTATAAGCCACCTCATGTTGTTTTAGATAATTTGGCAGTACGTCCAACCGGCCTCACAACCACAGACCACGTGTAACCACGCCAGTCATCCACATCCAGCTTCTTCACCTGCGGGATCGTCAGACCAGCCACCTGATTAAACTGGGTTTGAACAACAGACTTTCTGCACAAACTGTCAGTCTCTGGGAAGCTCATCTGCGTGCTCGTCGTCCTTACCAGGGTCTTGACCTGACTGCAGTTCGGCGTCGTAACAGACTTCAGTGGACAAGTGCTCACCTTCGATGGCCACTGGCACACTGGAGAAGTGTGCTCTTCACGGATGGCGTTGTGTGGACGAGCGGTTTTCTGATGTCAACGTTGTGAACAGAGTGCCCCGTGGTGGTAGGGTTATGGTATGGGCAGGCATAAGCTACGGACAACAAACACAATTGCATTTTATCGATGGCAATTTGACTGCAGAGATACCATGAACGAGATCCTGAGGCCCATTGTTGTAACATTCCTCCGCCGCCATCAGCTCATGTTTCAGCATGATAATGCACAGCCCCATGTCGCAAGGATCTGTACACAATTCCTGGAAGCTGAAAATGTCCCAGTTCTTCCACGGCCTACATACTCAGACATGACACCAATTGAGCATGTTTGGGATGCTCTGGATCAACAGCGTGTTCCAGCTCCCGCCAATATCTTCGCACAGCCATTGAAGAGTAGTGGGAAAACATTCCACAACCAACAGCCTGATCAACTCTATGCGAAGGAGATGTGTCGCGCTGTATGAGGCAAATGGTGGTCACCCTAAATAGACTGGTTTTCTGATCCACACCCCTACTTTTTTTTTAAGGTGTCTGTGACCAACAGATGCATACCTGTATTCCCAGTCATGCGAAATCCATAGATTATGGCCTAATTAAATTGATTTCAATTGACTGATTTCCTTATGAACTGTAACTCAGTAAAATCTTTGAAATTGTTGCATGTGTATTTTTGTTCAGTGTAGTTACATGATTGTTTTGAAGTTGAGGGTGCAGTATTTATGGAGTTTGGCAATGAGCACGAAAAATAGCATAGTTCAGCTAGTTTAGCCATGGAAAACAAGCTTAGGACAGGATCTAGCTGCTGGACGCACATGCGCACTAGGCTAATTCAGGACACAGATTGTAGTTTTTATTCAATTAAACAATTCAGAGACAGAAACAAATACTTAAAACAACAAATATTTAAGAAGAGCGAATTGATATATACAATCCCTAAATCTGCTGCAACTGTCAAGACTAAAACAAAGCTTAAAATGAAGTTTGAGTGAACCTGAATCCAGAAAAGGAATGGTGAAGTCGCTTCCGGACACCGTAGACTCACCACTAATTGGGGGATCCTGTTTTCCGCTAACAATGTCTGAAGTACCGTGGTCAGCCTTCAACTTCCGTGGCTTGAATGAGAGGGGGCAGTTGTTCTCCACTGGAGTGAACCATTGAAAACACTCAAGACATCATCAAGCTTTGAATATTTCAATCACCTGTAGTGCTAGGGCAAAAACCAAAACGTGCTCCCAGGGGGGGGGGGCCCAGAACAGTTTGGGAAACCCTGAACTACTGTACTGCCAATGTAACTTTACTGGCCTATGTGATGTGAATTGCTGATAAAATGACTCACTCTGCAAGCAGCCACACACTCAGCACTTCTCCATCTTCTGAAGGCAGGGCCACTGTTCTGATGTCATTCACTGCTTGTTCAATGGTACCTGGCTGCAATGAGGAGGCCACAGTTAATTGATTTAATCATTATAATAATCGAACAAATTGTTCCATATATCATAGCTGAATCAATTGCAGTTGTCTGAATAAATGGTTGCGTTTAACAGAACTGTTTGTTTCACAATCTAAGAAATAGATGCTAGTTTGTAACGACATGTTGCATGGGTGCTCACTGCCACAAATACGCATCTTCAATCAGAGCGAGCCAAGCTGCAGTCAATCAGCAATGGCAAACTCGCGCTGGTTACAGCGTGAGCGTTTGACAACTGTGTTTCCAAGCTAGCCTATTAGCTTGCTAACTAGCTAATATCCGACGTTGTTTAGATAATAAAGAGGAATTATTAGCCAGACTTACCCTGAAGACGAAATAATCCTTCACTTTCGCTTGCATTGTTGGGTTGTGGACATGAAACGGCGTCAATGTTTGTAAGGGGGAGCAACATGCTACAGAAGAACTATACCCAAGGCTCCCTCCGGCCCCCGGCGGCGTGAAGGCAACCTCGACTCCATCCTCAGCCTCCGCCGGATGAAGGACCGCAGCCCCCGGACTCATTGGCTCAACAGTGTCGTTTAGCTGAAGCATAGTGCAAACTGAGTTGTAAGAAAAAGCACAAAATAGACTTCAACCTATCCACTCGAGAATAAAGATTCAGCAAACGGTGGATTGTTTTGAATTGGTCATTGCGCACAATATTATGATCAGAGAGGATGGTGTTTACAAGGAAGTACCCCTGCCTCACTTCCCCCCATAGATTTCCTTTTTTTTTCACCTCTTAAAGGGGAAATATGCGGTTCAAACAAGTGTTAACCCCCGCCACTGTTGGGCTATAATCATTAGTCCGAACAGCTAAAACAAGAGTTTCTATTGGACAAATTCAGCTAGGTTCCTCCCTGTTTCGTTCCGTTTGCTTCCGTTTAAGAAACGTTTTGCAACAGAATCGGTGTAATTAATGAATAGCATACTCCCCTGAGGAATGGGGTTGGAGAAATGTTGCCTAACCACTCTCATATTTATAGAAGGAACTATGCAAGAACTGACCATCCATGAGTAAAAAAAAAAAAAAAAAAGCATATTTTGGGTTCTGGCGGTGTAGGACAGGTGAACTAAACTCATTAAGCATTTATAGGTGAGACTCTTTAAGAGGCAATGGGTATATATCATTAAGTTAAAAGGATGTACCAATCACAGATTGCCCCTTTAAAGTGGTCGCATGCATGTTTTGATCATCATGGCAAGTGGGTGGGGTAGGCCTATTTACATAATCTAAATAGCTCACTATCTGTCAATTGCTTTCTATGCCATAAAAAAATTAGGCGAGAGAGAGAGAGTTATCTGTAGGCTACATGACAAATACAAGGGACATTTCATATAAAAAGCACACAGGTTTTTATTGCATATCAATTTCATGTATAAATTCTTCATAGCATTGGAAAGATTACATTTGGTATACATTTCTATTCTACAGAATTAACATCAGAATCATATCAATTCCATGAAATTTCTCTGAAGTACATCTTCAATAATCACAAGCATCAAAAAAACTTCAATTTCAGAATTGTTCAATATTATTCTACAATCCTTTCATTTTTTTCATTACATCTTTCTCCCACAAGCTTTTTTGTATTCATTTAAGAACCACCTGCCCAATACATTTGTAAGGACTTGAAGTCAAACCTACTAACCTAACCACATGTACAATAAGTGCATCTACGGATTCATTATTTTTTATTTCATTTTTTAATTTAAGATACACATTTCACAAATGGACATCATTATGACTGCCAAACACGTCATGCACAATAGCTTTTTAATAAACATAACAGAGGTGATACAACTCGGATTCAAATGAAACGAGCACCATCCATTTAAACCCATATTTTTTCATTGAATTTTTCAGACATATGCAACATTGTTTTTTAAAATACTATACAGTTAAAAAGAAACATTTTTTTTGTACTTTTTTAAAAACGTTTTCCTGTAACAGTGGGGAAAGAACAGCAACCGTATTCTGAAGTTATCAGTTTGTGACCATTTGCCAGATCCTTTCAAAAGCTGGCAATGTGATCTTTGACTTCAATGTGCGTCCATAATTCTACAACCGACAGCGCGCACTTATTACAGTAGTACATGACATGAATTACTCCATATATAGTATACCTAAATATTTAGTAACCCCAGTCTCTGCATTTAATAGTAATGTATTGCAAAACAATGTGTTAACCGTGGATCCACATTTAGTATAGCAAGACAGAGACCTCTGTCATCATTATCATCAGACATGAAATGATGCAGCAAAACTAGTATCACCCTGCCACCTGCTGACAAAAAATAAAATTACAGTGCTTCAGTTACTGATTATTTTCCAAGGTCATCATCATTTTAAGTGAGGGTTGATCATCCACTCCAAGTGAGGCCAATCAGGTTTACTCTTAGTAACTCTTTAGTGACAGAGACCCATGCCTGCCCAGTTTATTGTTTTGGACCCATGCATTTAAGTGCTGGTCTGAACCTATCCCGCCCAGTCCTGAAAGTCTTAATTCACATGTCCAGCGTGAAAGCAACCTTTGCAATTTACGGCATACAACCCTTTAACTTAGAGTGACATGAAATAAAAAAAACAGCGTATTATTAAGTGCCATCTCTACCTTTGTCTACTGTGTGGAATGAAATCCCCTAAATGAGAAGATAAATGGGAAGAAGGAAATTGACAAGGGAATTATCAAAAAGAGTGTGTTTGCAAATATGAATACAAAGTGAATAGAAGTCTTTGAAACTTAAAATCCTACGCATGTCATATTTCTCTCCAAACCAGAAGCATTTTCTGGTTTGATTTCTTTCCTAGTTTGTTGGTTTGATTTTGTAATTATTTTGCTGGTCTCACAGTACAGTAAATGTGTTCTGCAAGGTGTTAAAACCCTTTACAGACAATCAAACCCATGTCAGACACAGCTGGAGTAACGGGTGAACCATCAAGCTATGACCTGTGGTTCTATGCCTCCAAGGAAGAAACTCTTCTCACGATTAAAAACCTCTCGGCTGTCGAAACCCTCGTGTTAACACTAGTTACAGAACCATTTGACCCCGAGAGTAATGCTACTTCTGCTAACAAGTGGAAAGATGATAGAATGGTACACTGTAGTTGGACACTATCTGAAAAACAATGTTGATTTTATCTACGACTGGGCATTCTGAGACATTTTCTTTCTAAAACCACATGGTCACATTTAAAAATAATAATTCCTACAAAATGAAACCCTCAAAGCAGAATCTGAGCACTAATAAACTGATTGAGTTAATATGTTGATCGGATTTGTTATAGAGTAAAATGTATTTGCTTATACTTAGGATCAATGATAAGCTATCAATTCAATGCCCTGGCATCCAAATCACCTGACATTCATAGTGAAAGCTGCCATTTTATAAAATGGCCACCGTAAGACTTCAACCGCCTTGAACACAAAACACTCAGCATACTAGTTGAAATGGTTCAACTGAAGCGAGACAAACCAAACCTCACGCTAGACACAACATTGCAAAACATGATCTAAACCATCTAGAACTACCATGTCACTATAAATAAAAACAGCTGATTTTCATGCTTTCTTTCCAATTTGGCACACTGGTCTTTACAGAAAAACACATTGAAACCCAGATTCAAAATCTCGGTCGTGTTTCGATTCAACTTCATTCCTTCAGCAACACTTAAAAGAGGGATAAAACAAATTACTTTTTTTTCATTTTCATTTGTCACTTGTCTCCAATCGTGACATTTTTTTTTAACCTAAATAAATAGAATACACACACTCTTTAAATCAAATATATAAGGTAAAAACAACAACTATGACAGCAATTAAAACCCCTCGAAAAAGAAATGATTGTCAGAGAACAAAACATTTTCTATGGGTTATTTGGCACATACCACTCTTGCTATGAACATCCAGGTTATTTTGTACATCATACAACAATACCATACAATTTTGGTCCTTCACTAAATAATTATATTAACATTTGAGCACGGAGGTGCCTAAAATGAGACAATACTGTTTATCAAAGAGCAAAACACAAAATGGAATCAAGTTAACAAATGAGCAAAAAACGGAAAAATAGGCTTTCCCTATTCTAACCAATGGACATCGATTTAACCTCTTGTTCACCGGATAACTTTTGATGTCGAGACTTTGTCCTCTGCAATGCGCATTATATGTTTGGGGTGGGTCATTCTCCATGACATCATTGCCATTCGAGCTTGATGCATCATCCTACTGTACTTTCTTTATAAACAAAAGCCAGAGTGCCGTTTCCTGCTCTAACATTTATCATTGTGCTATTATTGATTTGAAACAAGAATGAAGAGAGTGAAGGCATTGGATATGATGAGGAGGGGGGGCGTGGTCCATCGGCTAAAGAGCTAGTACATCCCCACTATGTGTTGCTACTGTTGCTCCTCCCACCGAGTGAAACAGTGCCCCGCTATGGACATGCAGTGCATATGTTCCAGACGGACTGTTTCTGTATCTTTTGCTATTGAGACATTGTGTTAGACTGTGTAGAATAGATGGATGTTTTGCTCTCCTAGTGATGTGTTGACATACTCAAACATGACTGTCTCTGAGAGTCCAACCAAAGGGGTTCGCTGGGGCGGAGTGGGCGGGTCTTGTAGAATGACTGGGGTTTGGGGTGGTCCTTCCTGGGATGTCCTTCACTCCTCTACAGGGGGCGAAGCAGTGCTAACTCCATCTCTGCCTGCGAGTGTCTGTTTGTCTGAGGGGCCCCTCGTACACACACGCACTAACGTGGGCATGCACGAATCAATGCACATAAGCGCGCACGCACACAAAAACACACACACCCAAACACACACAGAGAAGGGCAGGAGCCAGGAGTCCTCTCTCTTCTCAGGCCGGGGGTGTGTGAAGTTGAGTTCTCCTCCGTAGTAGCCTCCGACTTTCTGCCGTTTTCTCTCTCTCTCTCTCTCTCTCTCTCTCTCTCTCGGTCACTTTTCTTATTTTTATTGTGATACTATACTGCCTCCCTCCTCTCTCTCTCCTAGATGTGGTTGAGTGGGTGAAAGCTGCTCGTCTCGGACGGGCCTCCTCCCATGCTCAGCCAGGCATCCAGTGAGTTCTGGGAGGACGCGTGCAAAGGGTTGTTCTCCGACAGAGACAGCATCATTGCATAAGCCTGGAGGAGACAGAGAAATTACATACAAAATCAACAACCATTGGTCAGAAACCATTTTGTGAGTCTCCGCGTTGTCAGCCAATCGAACACGACTGTTATTATTGTCGATAAAACCCCAAGAGATGTTCCATCTCGGATTAGGAGTGTCGTTTCAACCATTGCAACATGTCAGGCATGCAAGAGGTCAAAGGTGAGTGAGCAGTGTGACGCTGCTGATTGGACAGTAGTTAGATGAGAGGTTTAGAGAAGGAGAGCGTTAATAGCTCAGTTAGTAGGTAAGTTAAGCGAAAGGAGAGCATGTCAACGAGAAGAACACTGGTCTTTTATTCACTGACTTTCATCCCGACACCCCATACAGCAACACTGAACAACATTGGCCTCGTGGTCATGCGTTTTCCTGGTTGTATTTCCCTTATCATCGAACTCAATCGAACTCAAGCTTTTGGACCGACGTCCAAAATGATTTACCACTTTCTGCCTCCATCCCTCTCTCTCTTTCTCTCTTTCGCTCTCTCCCTCACTCTATTCCTACGGGAATCCACCTACCTGGGTTTTAGCCTGCCTGTACAGAGTCTCTTTCAGGGCCTCAGACTCGAGCGAGGCGGTGTTAAAAATGTCTTTAACATCAAAGGGGGGCTCCTCGCTGCTGCTGGCCTTATGCAGCTCCAGGCCCTTGGGGAAGCTGGGCAGGGACTCCAGGTCTAACAGCCCACCGTCCTCCTCTATACACCTGCAGCAGCACCAGGGAAGGGGAGGGGAGGGGAAAAGGAATGGGAGTGGGAATGAGGGAAAGAGGAAGGAGAGGTTGTGGAGGAGGAAGGGAAAGGAGCATGGAGGGAGGGGGGTTAACCTCAGTTAGCCCAACTAATACTTTCTTGTAACTCGATGGATGGACTTTTGATGGCGCATGCATGGGGGGCAGATGGACGGACGGATGGAGACGGACGGACGGGATAGGTGCTATGGAGGACAGAGAGAGAGGGCCACGGACGGACATACACACACTTGTCATCTGACAACAGATTTCGCCACTAACACTGAAACTCCACCTGAGACCCTGCATGCCTCTCTTTGAATGAATGGACATACAGTTTTCTGGACCGGTTTAGTGCACTGAAAGGGAAAGCCGGCGCTAAAAGGCTGAACCATTTGGAGCTACTGTGCTCGGTGTGGAGAGAAAAGGTGAAGTACTGACACTGACAGGCACAGACAGGTGGACATGGAATGGAACTGTGAGAGTTCTATCTGCATCCCAACACTCTTTATCACCATCTAGTTCTCGTTGACCTCATTGCACTGCCATTACAGGGAGGGCAGATCATGCATTGCAGGTCATACAATATTACATTTTATTAGTTTTGTTAGTTGGAATGGGAGGAGACAGAGGTGGCTGTTGTGATTGGGTGGGTATGTTTGTGGAGGTGTTGTGTGGTGTGCTGTACGTGACTGTATGAATTTGTCTGTAGTTGTGTCTAACTATGTTTGTATTCTACCAGACAGGACATACCTGCGGGTGTGTTCGTAGCTCATAGCCAGCGGTGTGGCCTCCTCATCTTCCTCCGCCTCCTCCTCTTCTTCGTCCTCGTACGCCTCCTGCGTAACCATGGTGACCGGGGAGGGGGACTCAGGCGCCTCGTCCTGAGACTTCTCTGTCAGGCTGCCTTCCTCCTCCTCTTCGTCGTCTCCCTCCGCCTCCTCCTCCTCTTCCTCCAGCCCCCGGGCTTCCATCTTGGAGTTGGACAGACTGTGGCTGGATGGACGCTCCTCTTCCGCAAGCTCTGACCTGCAACAACGGGAACCTTACGGTCAGTGGCTGTACATTATATTCATTTAGCGCTTTATTTCTAGTTAATTTTTTTTTGGTTCCATTCATTTAAATTAAATAAACTCTATTATATTCTTAAAATGTCTTCATTGACCCCCAGTGGGTTTAATAGGTGGAACTACATCATTAGATGCATCCAAATAATCTAATGCCATCCGTTTTCTCTCCTCCTCTCCTCACATTCACTGGTTAGCTCACTATTCCCACCCATTCTGCTTTGGCTAGATGAGCGGAGATGAGGGAGAGAAGACAGGAGGAGAGGATGGCCCTCTTACCTCCATATTAGGACTTTGATTGGTCTTTCTAGGCCCACTGCCCTAGTTGCATCAGTGGGCCATGGCCAGGCATCCCTTTTGTCTGTCTGTCTGTCTGCCTGCCTGTCTGTTCCCCTGTCTGTCTGTCTGTCTGTCAATAGGCAATGAGTCATACTTTGCACAGCTATAACTAAGCTGCCAGGAGCTCAGTTGACAGCGAACAGAGCCCCATTCCCACTATCCAAGCAAACACACATGCGTGTGGGCAATTGGCAAGACCCGTTTCAAAGGGGAAATGGAGCCGATTGATTAATTGGCTAATTCCTGAGAACCAGTATATAGGCAAGACGGCCCTGCTCAAACGGTTCAGTCGGGCCCCGATTCTGGATGCTGTGTGTGTGTGTGTGTGTTTGTGCATGAGTGCGTGCGAGTGTGTGTGTAGGGGTGCGATGGCTGCTCAGCACAGCAGCCATTGCGACCTGCCGCCTTTACATTTTCCAGCCCCCCCGGTCTCCGCCGCTTCATGCCTCATGATGTCATTTCCTCAGGGGGAGCGCGTTTACCCTACAAGAAGCCAGACAGACTGACATTTATCAAACCAGACGGGATACCTTAGGGGAGCGAAAGGGACAGAGGGGTGCGTGGGGGGCATTGGGTCTCACACAGTGGGTGGGAGGTACATTAGGGAGGGGGGGTTTGTTCTCCTCTTTCAATCTAGATTAAATATTGTATAATCAAATTGGTGGGGGCTGTGTGTGGGGGGGGGGGGGGTGCGGGGGGGGCTCTGATGCTGGGCCCTGCGTTTTGTCACTTAGTCTAAACACGTCAGCCGTGTGTTTGTGTTAGCGACCTGGGAGGTGGAGGTGGGGACGGAGCTCCATCAGTTGTATCTTGCAGATAAATGCCTCAACCGGAGTCTCCCTGAGGACCCGCAGTACCAGCCTACCCCCTCCACATCAGGCCACCACCCCACAACTTTTGAGCACAAGAAATGGCCAGTCCAGCTCTATCCCCCCATACACACTGTCCACTGTCCCCGCCCCTCCACACACTGTGTAGTGCACCATACACCTCTCCTTACCTCACAGGCTAGACAGTGTCCAGAAGAGAGGGAAAAATACATTAGAGCGAGACAAGTGACTAGACTGATTTGACTTTGTTTACAAACACTTTGTGAAGAGGAGGCGCATGAGCGCACAGATAGGGATACACACAGCTGTATGTCTGTGTTCAATGACGGGGGGTTGGGGCGTCAGTCAAAGTGCGTGTGGTGTGTGTGTGTGCGTGTGAGCATTTGTGTGTCTGGGACGGACAGAAAGCAGAGCACTTATTTTGAATTACAGATATTAAAATGCCAGGCTTGCTTGTTCTGGACGGTTCTGCACTATTGATCCCAGATGGCAGAGGGGCTAAATTACCCCTGAGCTCTGTTGACTTTTATGTCTCCTGTCTACTGACCAGGGAGGAGAGAGGGAGGGAGGGAGGGAGGGAGGGAGGGAAGGAAGGAAGGAGGGAGAAAAAGAGACAGAAAACTAAGTTAGAGAGCGAGAGAGGCAGAGACAGACAGACAGAAAGAGATTGAAAGAGAGAGAAAGACAGGGAGAAAGACTGAAAGAGAGAAATAGAAAAACAATCAGCCCTCGTTTACTGGCACGAAGACGGCAGAGCGAAATCAAGGAGGAACCATTACGTGTCATCAAAAGAATCCAACATGTCTGCCTAGGGCTTATTGAAGAAGACGGCTCGCATATTTCCCCCGACACGTCTGTCAGAGCTAGTAGATGTTCCCGACATCGCCCACCACTGTCTTAGAACCTGGTTGTATTCATTATGAACCAAATGTAAGAAAACAGACTGAAACTGCCTGCCTGAAAAATAAACGCTTGTTTTAATTTTCAGTTGCAAAACATTTTACTAAGGTGTGCACTAATGAACATGACCCTGCTGCTGGCGCTACCTGAAATTGCAGGGCCATAGACAAGACAAGAGAAGAGAAGGCCAGAAGCTCTGGTAAATGTTCTTTCAGTTGGGGAGAAATGAGTCGTTGAGAACTGTCAGAGCAGAGTTGGGGGCACTTATGGGGCTGTACTGTACTGTGTCTACTATCCACCTAAAGCCTGTTGGAGTAACATTCAACCACTAGAGAGCAGAGTATGTACGGTTTCACCATAGAGACACATTTGACAGGGGAGTCGAGTCAGTGTTAGGAAGGCTGAGAGAGTGAGATCAACTACAGTATACTCCTGACTAGCCAATCCAAAATGGACACCTAAAAAAAGGTGTCCATTTTTTTGTAAGTTAAAGGTCCTTGTTTAAGTATTTGTGTGTGTGTGGTATGTAAACAGAGGTAATTTGCTTAACCATGCTCGTGTGATGATGAATATCCTTGCCTGAGACCTGAAGACCTGTGTTGGCTAACCCGAGCTAATGCCTTGGCTTTAGCTTACCGGGCTCACACAGTCTTGTGGCACGCAGGAGACTAGGATTCAAAACCCATTATGATTAGTGTTTGTAGAGAATATGATGTGTGGTCTGTTCTGTGCTTGCGTGTCCGTGTGTGTTCCCCCTACCTCTTGTCTGTTGAGCTGGATGCCTGGTTCAGCTCGCTGTTGGAAATGAAGTTGCGGATTTCTGAGAAGTACGAGTCCTCCTTCTCATCTAAAAGTGCATGATTGTCTGGCTCGGAGTTGGGAGAAGAAATGTTGTTTCCTAGGTTGGAGAGGATCCCAGAGTGTTGACTCACTGTTAGCAGGACACACACACACACACACACACACACACACACACACACACACCGTTAGTCACGGCATATAAAGCTATAATCAACAGCTGGAATAGGGGACTACACTGTACATTTCAATGAGATACTAAGCTATACACCAGGGTTCTTCAATTCCGGTCCTGGAGGGCCGAAACACCTCTGTTTTTCATCCTCTCCTTCTAATCAGGGGCTAATTCAGACCTGGGACACCAGGTGAGTGCAATTAACTACCAGGTAGAAATAAAAAACAGAATTGTTTCGGCCCTCCAGGACCGGAATTGAAGAACCCTGCTATACACTATGCATGTCATAGTTATTATGTACACCACCAGGGATGAATAAAATTGGTAAATAAATGCTGAACCCAGAAAGAGATGACAGGCGGTGAGTAACAACTATGAATGTTAAAGGGATAGTTCAGCCATTTTACATATTTGTTTCCTTACCTTGAAAGCAGTCTACAGACAATGAGTGACTGCAATCAACATTTTGGTACATCTAACACCCACACAAATATCAAAACATGTAAAATCGCTGAACTGGGGGTTAATTAGGTGAACGGGGACCCACCGGGGATGTTCTCGTGTTCGTGCTTCTTGAGGTGGCGGTCCAGGTTGGTCTGCTGGCCGAAGCAGCGGTTGCACAGGTGACACTTGAAGGGCTTCTCCTTGTTGTGGATGTTACGCACATGCCGCTGGAGGTTGGAGGAGATGCTGAACGAGCGGTCACAGTATTTACACCTGGGGATGGAAGGAGGGGAAAGTTAGATTTCTTAAGTTTTCTATATATTTTTACAGGTAATGTAAAGACGGTAGGTTGTATTGCCAATAACGCTCATTGCATTAAATCTAACTGAGTTGAAAGACAAAGGGAGAAAGAGATAGAAGCAGGGGAGGAGAGGGATGCAGAGAGAGAGAGAGTAGGCTAGACTAGTAGAGTGGCAGAGACAGGCAGGGAAGAGGGTGCTCGGGATGCCGAGAAAGAGCGAGAGAAAGAAAGAGTGAGCGAAAGAGTGGTAGAGAGAGGTGGTCTAAATGAGTGGCCTGTTCCACTGTGTAAACAACAGTAATGACCCAGAATGCCTCAGTCTAAACACTGTGGGCAACATGACTGTTAATCTACTATGGGCCTTTCTACATGGACACATTTGTCACTGCAGCACTGACACAGGCGCACACAAACACACACACATATTGACACACACACACACATGCAGGGTTTGCCCCTGGCCTGCATGGTGGGAGAGTATGGAGGTGTGTTGTGCGTCCGTCCATCAATTCCTCAAGCGTACGCAACTAATGTGATGAATAGGCGACCGCATCAGTGGTTAGAACATAAACTAGAGAAGCAAAACGAGGGTTTTCACTCTGTCACTACCTCATAGTCACAAAAGGACACACTAACAGACTATGGGTCAATTAAAACGACAATAACGCCACCATGTGGTGGAGAAACATTGATGCGTCACCCAGTGGGATTGGTAGTACAATATTTGGCAACCCTGATGCATCACAACCCAGCTCAACATCCACTCTGACTGTGGATCACTCTCACTCGCACTCTGAAATCTGGCAACCGGGGGTAAACACTGGCAACCCGAAAAACAAACAAGCAGGTAGGAACGTGGTCCTGATTTGAGGGAGGATTTCGGGGAAATCTTTCAGCGATACATCTGGGGTCACACACACACACGGCTGTACATCTATTTAACCTGGCCATAAATAAACAGTGGCCAGGCCTTGTCAAAGCCCCCTAGCCCACTGACACTGGCTCTTTGTTGTGTGTGTGCATGCGTCAGGGCCTGCAGACCTGCTACAAGGTGACCTCCGCTAACCCCAACAAACACGGCACACACACGCATGCACAGACACACACACACACACACACACCAACGTCAGACAGAAAGCCCCTGCTGCTGCAAGGCTGACATTCAGGGCTAATTGCTTTGGGAAAAGTTGCCGGTGATCAAGCTTTGGAATCAAGATGCAGGGCTCTTTTCATGTTCTGCCGTGTGTTTGTGTATGTGTGTGTGTTTGTGTGTGCGTGTGATTGTGTGTGTGTGTGCACCCGTGCGCTACGTGCGTACATGCGTGTTCTCAAGCTCGCTAACATCCAGACTTGGAGCACCACACTTCACAGAGCATGGTCGAGCGCCAACACTAATTCAATTCAGTGTTTTTATTTATTTTTGTCCGAAGGGATGTGAAATTACGACTTTTTTTCTCTCCCCGGCCGTCCAGAACGTTGCGAGGGGGCTGCAGCGTTACCGGCTGAATGGGGTCTTTCAGTGGTCAGGTCTAAAGTGTGGCCAATTTCTGGAGCAGAAAGCAGCCGTCTGATAGGAACTCAGGCAGGCAAATGGCCCTAAGACAATGAAGCATGAAGGCCTTGGCTAGGAGGCCCTGGTCTCTCTCTCTGTCTCTCTCACACACACTCTGTCGCTCTCACTTTTCCTCTCCTGGTGTCTCTTTCGGTCTCCACTTCTCGCTCTCCCTCTCTCTCTCGGTCACTCTCTCCCTCTCTCTCTCAGTCACTCTCTCCCTCTCTCTCTCTGTCACTCTCTCCGTCACTCTCTCCCTCTCTCTCTCGGTAACTCTCTCCCTCTCTCTCTCTCTCCCCTCTCTCTCTCGGTCACTCTCTCCCTCTCCCTCTCGGTCACTCTCTCCCTCTCTCTCTCGGTCACTCTCTCCCTCTCCCTCTCGGTCACTCTCTCCCTCTCTCTCTCGGTCACTCTCTCCCTCTCTCTCTCGGTCTCAGTCTCCCCTTGTCACTTTCTCTCTCTCTCTCCCTGTCCCTCTGTGCTACTTTGGTCTTATTTGCCTGAAAAGTGGCAGAGATAATGATGTCTGCTATTTGTTATGGTAAATTGTTTCTAAATGAGCTAATCAGTAGATTGTTTGGACTGGGCCCGGGAACTGGGTCCCCCGAGAAAATCTCTCTCTCTCTCTCCCCCTCTCTCTATTTCTGTAGATTGTGCTCAAAGAGTTGGCACTACAGCTCAACATAGGACAAAGTGCACCACTTTCGGTCTGTGCACTCAGGTTAGCCAAGTTTCAAATACTAGGAGGTCCATTTGAAAATTAGATCGCAGGTCCCTTTCGAAGGTAGAACTGCTTGCTTGGCTATCACTGTCACTCTTGCCATTTACTGTCAATATGTTCTCAAACTGCACACGGTTTGTTGGGCTCCAAGATGGAGATGGCGAGAGATGGAGAAACAGAGACAGAGAGAGAGAGAAGTAGAGAGATCCAGCAGAGAAGAGGAGAGAGAGGGAGAAGGGAAGGATAGAAATTCAGCAGGGAGGAGACGGAGAGAGCGAGAGACAAACAGAGAAAAAAGGAGAGAGAAAAGGAGAGAGAGAGAGAGAGAGAGAGAGAGAGAGAGGGGGGGGGGGGGGGTAGAGAGAGAGAGAGGCTGGGCAGGAGCCAAATGATTGATAACTAACTGGTCTCTATAAACAGAGGCCTGATCTCTCCAGGGCACCATTACAACCCGACATTGTCCAGGACCACCGCTCCCCTGCCCCCTTCCATCCCTCCCTCCCTGTCCTACCCCACTACAACATCTGGGCAGACTGCATCAATCTTCCTTCTCTTTCGTACATTCTCGCGCTTTTCTTGCGCTCTCGCTCTTCTCAAGTGCCAGACGCACCACTCCTCACGTTTCCAGCAGGTCGTATATATGTATATATCACTCTGCGGTGTGTGTGTGCACAGCCGAATCAGCAGATTTGAGTGTGTGTGTGTGTGTGTGTCCGTCATCAATGCCTATGCCAGGCATGAGTGTGTTTTCGTTGCCAAATGAGGAGGAATAAATCAGGTGGGAAGGATGTGATTTCATCATTGGTTGATCGGGTGGAGTAGGCCTCTGTCAGCGGTATGGAGGGATTGAGAAGAGAAGAGAGGGGGAGAGGAGAGGGAGGACAGGAAAGGCTTACCTGTAGGGCTGCTCTCCTGTGTGTGTCCGTAAGTGCCTGGTAAGATTAGCTGACCTGGGGAAGATCTTCCCACAGTACCTGGGGGGAGGGGGGGAGAGAGAGAGAGAGAGAGGAGAGAGAGAGAGAGAGAGATGAGAGAGGAGAGAGAGAGAGAGAGAGTAGAAGAGAGATAGTACGATAGAGAGATATAGTAGTCGCACGATGCGCGCTCGCTCTTCTCGCTCCTAGCTCTCTCCTACGCTCTCTTGCCTCCTCTCTCTCTGCTTCTCGCTCTCTCATACCCCTTGTTGTTCCCCACTTCTTCCCCCCTTCTACAAAAACATTTACCAAAACAAATCTCTGGCGGATGCCTACCTGCAGGTGTAGCGCTCCTTTCCTTTGCGGAGGATGGCGTCAGAGAGGGAGGGCGGCGGCGAGCGGAAGTTGAAGAGCGGGTGAGCCGAGTGCTGCAGTGAGTTGGGCGGGGCGTCCAGTTTGAGAGCGCCGAAGCTCTCCAGCTTCTCCGTCATGTTCTCCATGGCCGACATCTGAGGTAAAGAAGGTGTACCACGGTAAAGATACTGTAGCTGTAGATAGGGGAAGATTTACAGTCACGTTTTAGTTTTAATTACTGTTCTTCAACAGATTGCACTAGGCCTTGATTAGTTGGTTAAATTGGAAAGTGTTCGCTAGAGGGACGAGCACCTGGTAGCGGGGCCAGAGAAAGAAACATAGAGGTTGGGAGGTCATTCCCCTTCAGTGGAAGGCAGGAGGAAGCTCTATATCAGAGGTCGTTCTCTTGATTGTGCTGACGGGAGTCACCTCCCTGACCTAGCGCACGTTCGCAGACACTCGAGGAGCACCCTGAGCCCCCCCAGCCCAGGCAGACTTTGTTCTCAGCTACCTCCTCCTTCCCCCTCCACCCTCTCGGTGAAGCCATCGCAAGCTCAATAAGCCATTCAATGAGAGCTCTGATGGGAACCATACAATATAGTTTAAAGATACCCGTCACTTATACTGCTTTACCTCGTCTCCTCCCCCAGCCTCGGGACAAAGGGCCAGTCAGTTATGGGCCTGGGGGTTTATTTGCCAATAACAGCTTACATCCTTCCTGGTTTGGGAATACAACAGGGGACACGGAGACAGACACGGCGTCTCAATTTATTTATTCGTAGCGTCTCGCCGTAGGATGATTCTGTCAGCGGAATGAATTATTGAGCGATCCCTTCAATGAGCAATCCCTTCATTGTGGTGTGATAACTGGGTGGATTTGAGGCTAGATTGTTGGGATAACAGAGGGCTTATTGGGCCTCGTATTTGTCTTGGACGTCTTCTGTCCAAGAACCAGGTGAAAGTTGCTTTGACAGACCATTCATGGCCGTTTGTTCGTACGTCTCAAAGGTCTGCCCTTATGCTAACACCTGTCCTTATGTGCCACCCACACCTGGCATATAGGGGAAAAGGATCCACTGTTGTTGTTGGATGTACATGTAGGGTACAGAGTGTGTGTGTGTGTGTGTATGTGTGTGTGTGTGCACATGCTAACTCAGTGTGTGAGTGCCTCGTTCAACTTCACAATTGATAGAGGACCAAGCAGATTCCCAGGTCAGATAAAACAAGTTCCCAACAACAGCCCCCATTCTCCTGGACACAAACACAGGATGTCCTTGATGGACACACTGCTATTATCTAGGCAGCCAGGGAGAAGAAACTAGCCAGGAGGAAGTTATTAGCTCCCCGTGTGCTCAGAGGCCCAAAGAAACAATGCCACAACTAAGTTTAGCATTAGCAAGAGGCTGAATCGTGGGATAGCTGCATGGGGTGAGATAGGGCTCGATTCAAAAGCTTATTATTCTTATTATTAATACGTATCATTCTTGTTATCGTCGCTGGGAGGTTGTTTGGTAGGTGGGAAGGGTTGGAAGGGTTTGGGGACAAGCCAAACAATGTGGTTTGATTATCAAAGGGGCGATGCGATAGCAGACTTTTTGTCTTCTGTGCAACAAGGTGGGAGGCGGTGGAATTCCGAGGCGCCACATCGTAAACAAAGGAAGAAATCGTACAGAGCCCCTGAGAAATAACAGTGGCGTTTCGGGACCGTTGTGGGAACGTTGCGCAGGACAGAAGGGTTTCAGGAGTGGGTTTGTGGGAATTCTCATAGAGCAACATGTTGGGACAAAATCAGATATCGATTCTAAAAATTCTGCCTGACAATTCAACTTGGTGACCAGTTTTCCCAATCTGTCTCTACCCGTCTATTCAATGTCATTGATGAGCACATCTATGTTTAATCAGTCAGATGCAGTCAGTCAGTCAGATGAATATTAAGATTACTTTATTCGTCAATTGTAAGGTCCAACCGAAATCTGACTTCTTCTTTAACCCAACCCCTCCGAAAGACACATAAATATACAGGTTGGAGAGGTTGGAGCAGGATGCTTCAACACTGGACTCCTGTGGAGCAGTTGTTGTGGGGGTTAAGTGTCTTGCTCAAGGGCACAACGGCAGGCAATGGCATCTAGGATTTGATACCAGAAAACCTCCGGTTGCCAGCTCATTTCCCGACAGATTTTTACCGTCAGACCCGGGATTTGAACTGGCAAACCTCCAGTTGCTGGCTCGCCTTTCTAGGCTACCTGCTACCCGTCTGTCTGTCTGCCTTGCAGCAGTGAGGACTTACTGTGTGTGTGTGTGTGTGTGTGTGTGTGTGTGTGTGTGTGTGTGTGTGTGTGTGTGTGTGTGTGTGTGTGTGTGTGTGTGTGTGTGTGTGTGTGTGTGTGTGTGTGTGTGTGTGTGTGTGTGTGTGTGTGTGTGTGTGTGTGTGTCCGTGTACCTGTGGATGAAAGAGCAGCGGGCTGGGCCTCAGGTACTTCTCCTTCAGAGCTCCCACAGGGTCCAGTAGCTTCCTCTTTTCCACCCTGCTGGACAGCAAGGACAAGGGTTACGTACGAAGGTCAGAGGTCAACTGGAAAGGTTGCACTACTTCACACTATACCTGCCCATATAATGTATTATAATTTCATTTATTATAACTATAATACTTACTAGACACTTTTATCCAAAGGGACTTACACTACAGTGAGTTCATACATTTTCAATGTATGTGATCCCTGTACGCATTGAACCTACAACCTTGACCAATAGCTACGTTAGCATACCACTTAGTGAAGCAATGCGCTGGGACTGCATTCTTAGTGGTTTGCTAGTGTGGATATTGCAACCTAGTCCTTTCCTCTTATCTCATGAGGGGAAAGGTTAAGTCTGAACACTGACATACAGATTTTGAGATATATATTATATTGAATATAGGTTCTAACGTGAGTTTCAACTTGAGTTGGTTATCATACAGTGTCTGGTGAGGCCTCTGGTCTACTCGGGGCTGAAATACCTGTATATTGGGTCCATGAAGAAGGGTGAGGGCTTGGCGTAGTGCAGGGAGGGCTGCTGCTGGGGCGGCTGAGCCAGGGGCTGCTGGTGCTGGGGCAGCGGGGGCTGGAGGAGGGAGTGGCCCTGGGGGTGCTGGGCGTGGGAGTGCGGGTGGCTGCCGGGGTGCTCCTCCTTGCGGTGGTTCTTGCGGCTGGGCGGCTGCTCGGGGGCCACCATCCCGTTGTGTCCGTCCCGTCGGCGGCTGCCGATGCTCAGGTCCAGTGGCTGCTCCTCACCCCCGGGGAGAATGAGGGGGGCGTTGCTGCTACCGCTGGGTGGGGTCGGCTTGGCGGGGGCCGGTGGGGCCGGCTTGGCCTCCTTGGGCTTGGTGGTGAGGTCGAAGGGCGATGACTCTCCGGTGCCCTGGGCGGCCATTTTGTGGGGTGTCGGATGCTGCTCACGAGGCGACTTGGGCTCAGCCTTGAAGAACATGCCAGGGTTGAGGGTGCCGGTCCGCTCGGCGAAGGGGTAGAGGGAGTGAGGGAAGTTGGGTAAGAACTGGAAGGGGAACATGGAATGGTAGGGCAACGAGCCCATCTTCTTCTCCTGCAGGCCCATAAGGCCAGGGCCAAAGTACTTCTCTGCGATGGAGGCGATGGCCTTGATGGAGTCGGTGGCAGCAGCGCCACCTGTGGGGGGCAGCGCCTGCTCCTCCGGAGGCGGGAAGAAAGAGTGCTGGGATGCGGCCGAGAGGAAGGAGGGCCGCTCGCAGGCCAGGTTGCCCGAGCTGGACACCGCCGACACCGAGCCGCTACTCACATCGTCCGGCCGCCCTTCCAGACCCGCCTCTCTCCGTCCCCCTCGCCCCTCCAGCGCCTGCCGCCTTCCTCCTCTTGGTGCCGCTGCTCCGCTCCCGTTGTTCCCGCTCGCTCTCTGCGTCGCTGTCTAAGTCTGAACCCGAGGCGGTGCCGGTGGTGGTGTCCAGGTCGGTGCCGCTGGTGGTGTTGACGTCCTCCAGGTCACTGCCGTCCGACACCTCCGACATCTTGGCCTTGGCCTTGGCCTCGCCGTACGCCAGCCTATCCTTGTCCTCCCTCTCCTGGCTGCTGAGGAGACTACTGCCTCCATTGCTGTTGTTAATGGAGCTGACCAGAGACAGTGGAGGCCCGTCCAGGGGGCTGCGGGGCAGCTTGCCCTCCTGAATCCCACCGTTGTTACTGTTGTTGCCCAGGGGGCTCTTCAGCAGTGGGCTGGGGGGCAGTAAGGGCGGCCGGGGGTAGAGCGAGGGGGGGAAGAGGCCCGGGAAGCCGTGGGAGAGCGAGGGAAAGCCATGCGGCCCAGGGGAGAAGGGAAGGCCGGCATGAGGGTGAGGGTGTGGCCGGGAGGGGAAAGTAGTCGGGGAAGGCCAGGCCCGAGTGGTTGAGGCCTGGGTGGTGGTGGGGGTGGTGGTGGGACTTGGACTTGGCCAGAATGGGGCTGCTGCTCATGGGAATGCCGGGAGCGAAAAGGCCCCCAACAGGGCCGTAATGGTTCTTGCCCTCACAGAAGCGCCGGTGCTTGTTGAGGGAGGAGGTAGTGCTGAACATCTGGCCACAGTCCTTGCACTTGATCTGGGTGCGGCAGTCGGCATGCATGCGCTTGTGGCGGCACAGGTTGGAGAACTGCGTGTAGGACTTGTGGCACACCTCGCCTGGGGAGACACACAGCCCACATGGGCCTGGTTAAGCCCATTTAAACACTGTCACTAACTCAGAGTACCACGTCAACAGCCTACACAGATGCAACATTAGGCTACTTAGAGAAATATACATGCACATCGTGCCTTCATTTTGTCTAAAGGCTGTATATCTATACAAATCAGAAATCGTACATGCTTTTGGTGAAATCCAGTGACAACATTTTTCATCTTCATACTTATTGGCCATTGAATCACTATGGCTGGCAACACACCTACCATATATCCACAGTGGGCAATATACGGTTAAGCTGATTATTTTCACACTATGTTCTATGAAATGTTGCTTGAATACATACTGTCCGTATACATGTATATAGGCATATACACGCATACGTGCACATGAGTACAAACAGAAATGCAAAGCAGAAAGTTGAGTGAGAGAAGAAGGCTTCCAGCATCGTCCAATGGGGAGCTGAAGCAGATACTGTGGATCTACTTTTATCATATCAAATCTGCCCGTGCCGTCGGAAATTCGTTTTCTATCACCCTCAGAGGGAAAAAACACACACACAGGGGAAAGAAGGAAAGAAACCCGAAAGGAACACACAAAGTAACACTTTTTTGAAAGTCCCCCTAAAGATGCTCAACAAATTATTAATAAACTACTTTCAGTAACATATAAGCTGCAGAGGGACCATAGAGTTGAAAAGAGGGCCCACCTCCTATCTGTACCATTGCAAGTGCACCCTCTATCCAATTCTAAGCTGGACTATCAAAATAAAGTGTGACCCATACAACAAAAAGAGAAGGAGAGTGAGAGGCACGGAGAGGGGGAAGGACGAGGATAACAAAAACAATTTTAAAAAGGTGGGAAAAACGCAAAACAAAATGGCGGCTGAAGAAGGGATGGGGTCATGGAATTGTCTCTGACCTATGGGATTGTGTCTGCTACTGTCACTGGCCCTGCCTGGGGTTGGAGAGAGACGGAGGGAGGAGGAAGAGGAGGATGAGGCCTTTGGACACGGGGAGGAGGTAGAACTAGATGTGGGTTGGCTAGGCCGTGGCGGCGGCGGGGGCGGTGGAGACTCAGACTTACAGATGAAGGGCTTGACACTGCTGTGAATGTGCTTGTGCTGCTTGAGGCCCGAGGAGGTGGCGAAGGTCTTGCCACACTCTGGGCAGGTGTGAGCGCGCGCCCCTACGTGCTGTGAGCGGATGTGGCGCTGCAGGTTGCTGGGGTCCGTAAACACCTACGGGTAGGGGGGGTGGCCGGCATGTTTACATTGACACACACACACACACATATGCATACACACAGATATAAAGCAGTTATGGCCAGCGATCACAATCATCCGATCACTGTAATAAATACTACTGCGTAAAATGGCTTTTACTGCCATCATAGACAACACAAAACCTGACAATCTATCTCAGTCTATGCCAGCTTCCCATGAATGGCCTTTTAGCATTGTGATGGTGGTGACATTCACAAACAACTAACTTGATGGCCAGTCAACCAATAAGCTGAATAAACTGAAACTACATTGTCAAGTCATCTAACATAAACCGACATGATTAAGTTGGTACTAAGTTGCGTTTATGGTTGTCAACTTAATCATGACATCACATGATTACAATCACATTTTCTACATACATACAGCATGGATTTTCTCCTCATTCAAGTCGCTACTGTAGCTAGTGTCAGCATTCACCAAGGTAGCGAAGGAGAAGAGCCTGTGTTTGTGTGCACAACTTACGTGCCGGGTGTGCTGTACCTTATCGCAGTTTTCACACTCGAAGCGCTTTCCGCTGTCGTGGGACATCTGGTGGCGGATGAGGTTGGACTTCCAGTTGAAGGCTTTGGGACACTGGTCACACTTGTACTCCCGCTCCTCTGTGTGCACGATCATGTGCTGGCCCAGACTGGACAGGGACCACAGACACACACAAACACAGTCATTTAGGATAATGATGATGGTCATTAGTGTAGAGGTGATAGTACCACTGTGTGTGTGCATATGTGCTGCACCTGTACTCGTTGGGGAAGATCTTCTCACAATCCTTGCACTCGTGGATGGGCTCGTGGTCGCTGTCGTCGCGCTCCTGCTTGAAGTCCTCGTTGCTGAGCGTATCGAACAGGGAGCCGGCGCTGGCGCACGAGTACTTCTGGTGCCGCCGCAGCTCCAGGGCCGAGGTGAACAGCTCATCACAATCCTCGCAGCGGTACATCTGTTCGTCTACAAAACAATACAACTTTATTTGTCACAACTGTTTTATCGGAAATGTGTCTTCTGGACAAAGACAACAACACACACTTGTGAGTACAGGTTAGATCAGCTGTAAAGGTACAAGTCTGTGCAGTACAACTATAAACAAGGCAAGAGCATCCAGAAATGTCTAGCATTCAAACTTGGATAAAAATAAATCTGAGTGTAGCCTATACCCCCTCACTCTCCTGTCCAAGCTAATCAAGTGCATGTTAAAACGCTTAAAACAACCACTCTCCAAATGGCGTTGATGTAAAAGGAAAAATCTATTAAAAGTCAAATGTAGCCTGGGCCAGAGGGCTTTACACCTTAATTAACTCATAGTTGATTACTTTAAGTCCAGTAGTAGCGGCTGTTCTTTGGCTTTATAGCGAGCAAAGGAAACAATAGCCTACACATTTGTCATTCTTTTCCAGCATGATAGCCTTTGTAATACTTTTCCCAACCAAGGTCAAACCAATAAAACTTGGGAGGCAGGGGGTTTCAATGGTGGGTTCCTGACTTGGATGCCAAGTTCAACAACTCAGGCCAAGTTGGAGAGAGGGGGAGGGAGAAGGCAGAGTAGATGGTGGACGTTGTCCAAGAAGAATGAGCCATGCGGGGTTAGGTTAGGTTGTCACCCACCCTGTGGAGGTTTTAGAATGCCAATCAACCCAAGATGCCCGCTCTGCCATGACCCGAGTGGGCACTGCATGAGGGCACCGGAGATCCCCTTAACACACCCCACTGTAACTATTAATCATCGAAAAAGCTAAGCAGACAAGTTGATTCAAAATGACTTACAGCGCATGGCTCACCTGGTTTCTACTGTATGCCACCATTTATTCAGCTGGCTATGTCCAGAGCCATTAAAAGGGCAGAAGTGTAGAAACAGCACTTTGTCTAAACATGGATTTGAACAAATGACCCTCTTGGTCACAGTCCTCCATTACTTCAAACTCAAAACACTATGCATGCATAGCTGCCACCATAGCCACATAACTCATAACGGAGTGAGCGTTTTACTGTGTTAAATGTTCCATTCCAACCTAAAAACACCTCAGCGCAAAGCTATTTGGATGTGTCACCTTTGAAGGCTGCGACATGTTTCCATGAACAGGCTTATAAAGCGCTTATTGAGGCTTTATTACTTGTTTTATTACACCGAGGCTTTGTCAAATCAAACAACACTTCAAGTAGGAATTGAAACGCGAGGAGGACTCGGAAAGAACCGCACCTAGCCATCGGCTTCACCGCTAGATGACATTAGACTCGAGGCCTACAATGCCAGGTAGGAAGCGTGTGCGGTGTTTAAGGCCGAATAATAATTTGGCGCCATTATCTGTGTTCCATCAGTAACACTCCGGAAGAGAGAGGAGGAATGTTGCGGAGGGAGGACGGTGAAAGCGCTCACAAATGGGAGACTAATAGCTTTCTGGGAGATGTAGAGGAACACAATTATGTGCAGTTTAGCGACTAATCTGGGAGCATGGGTGAGGTCTCAGGGGACTCCTCAAGCCCCACTCCAAATTCCAGCTCCTATAAACCAGCCGAAGAGTGGTGCAGCGCCAATCTATTCCTCTCCCCTTCTTTTCTCTTGTGCACTCACACACACAGTCTACCTTTCCCTTTGTCACTAATTTGCTCTTTCATTCTGCCTCTCGTCCATTTTCTATCTTTCACAAACTCTCGTAATATGTCAGTCTCTTTCTTTTTCTCTTTCTCTCTTTTAAAATATCTCGCGCACGTCCCTTTCCTATCCTTTCACCCCCCCCCCTCCTGTTCTTTTGGCAAAGAGATCTGAGTAAGGCTTTCAAATCTTTCAGAGAAAACATTTTGTGTGTGTTAGAAAATCTATGGCTCACGAATACCTTGTACTGTCTACACAGTTTTTATAGACCATGACAAGTTAAAGCATAACCCCATTTTAGTGCAAAAAGACCAAGATGTTCAAACGTCCAACTGAACTATGCCTTACCTCACCTTGATCAAAATGGAGTACCTGGATCAAATTGGAGTTATGAAATAACGTTCTCTTTGACATGTAGCCTAGGCTACAAGATAATTTACAACAAGCACAACTGAAATATCGTAGTCCTAAATTAATTGGAATGGCCCAAGACATTTTGCATGTTAGACAAAACCAAATTAATCCATAAAAATAAACAATAGGCCTACATGCCAAAACACGAAATCCGAAGTGTGGGGAGGTCGCCATTCTGAAATTATACAGATTTCTCAAAAACAAAGTCATTGGATTTCAGTTCTTGTAAAATGACCCAGCATCAAATCTCATTGACCACTAACGTCGTGTTTTACCTAACCATTCTGTCACTTTTTGACTTGAGGCTAATAAAACGCTTTTATCCCCATCACAAAACCTATTAATTCCAATAATAGGCTACAGTATAGCCTATCTAATAGGTTATAGGCCTATCTTATATTCATTCTAACGCAAGGTAAGTAGGGCCAGGCCTACGTCAAATCCATCCCTACAAACGTAATAGGCCTACTTGTCAAATCCTTCCCTACAAACATTATTTATATTTCAAGAAATAGCCTACATAACATCATTTTATTTGCAATTGTCTTCAGGCCTTTGTAATCTTTTCTACATCCCTCCATTTTATAGTATCCACTGTCACTTGTAGGCCTATGCCTAAGTCATTTTGGAAAGTGATAAAGGACCCACTAGTCTAGAGTCAGGGTTTCCCAAACTCGGTCCTGGGGCCTACCCTGGGTGCACGTTTTGGTTTTTACCCTAGCACTACACAGCTGATTAAAATAATCAAATCTTGATGATGAGTTGGTTATTTGAATCAGCTGTGTAGTGCTAGGGCAAAAACCAAAACGTGCACCCAGGGTGGGCCCCATGACCGAGTTTGGGAAACCCTGGACTAGACTAAAGCAATTGTCGAGGATGGATGAGAACTGAGTTCGTCGTTGATCGGGTGTATGGGCTAGACATCAGATCTCTTTTCATGAGAAGACAAAAATCTCTCTCAGAAAAATTGATAAAATACTACTCTCTGAAGGGGACACACATCCCGTGTGAATTTTGTCTAAAAAATTATTATGACGTTTTGGATCTTCCTCAATAAATCCATAGAAAGAGGTTCTTAGGGGGAAATATATTTGGCCAATGAAATCTGTATCTAAAATCATTATTAAAAGATTATTGGGGGCTAAATTTACAACGAATTTGTCATTAAGGTTAAATCCAAAAGCAGCATCTTTAGCATATGTGAAAGATGGGTGTTTGTTTCTGAACTCTATAGCAGGGTTACCGCTGCATTGGCCAACAAAGCCGCGCAGGATGTTCGTTTGGAGTTTGTTTAAAATATGCGCTAATGATGCGCATTAATCTTACCTTCTAGGTTCGGTGCCATCGATCCCTCCGGGAAAAGTCCGTCCTTCATATACACCAGTAGCTCCTCCCCTACTTCAATATCCCTAATAGCTTTATAATAAATCTGTTGAAGAGAAAAGGGAGGGTGAGAAGGCGGTTAGGGACAGTATAGTCAACAAAAAAGCTATAGTCTGCTTGTCATGAATAAATAAATACATCTTAATTGCCGTCGATTTATTAGGCTTATTAATACCTTAATCTGTCAATATCGTTGCTGTTATTATTGTTATCAATGGAAACAACAATAAAAATAATAATTTGTATTAGGCCTATAAAAGTAGGCCTAACCAAAAAGGGCTATTTTACAATTATCCTTACAGCCCAATTTTGTTTATTTAATATTTGACTTGCTTGGCATATAAATACATTTATAAATACGATTTCGTTTTTGTGTCTACTTTACACCCATTGTTTATCATATAAACATGTGATAGTGATAGGCCTATTCATCGATGCACATTCATTATTATTGTTTCTAAAATCGAAAGATTATTATTGAAATATATTTGATAACAAATTATAGGAGGCAATAAACATTGTTCATTTGCCACAATAATTAGGCTGTCCAATGACGCTCTTCTTTTGGGTTTTAAAACTCCACATTCAAACCCATTGTTATTAGAATTCAGGCTGACTCCACGGCCCAAAATTTTAGCTAGAATATGTTGAATTCAATGAGCCAAGAACAATCATAATTTGGGGTGTAAACAAAAATATAGTTCAAGTAGGCAAGTAGGCCTACAACTCCAGACGATTGAAATAAAAGGACCGTGTCTCGTAGGCTATAATTATTTTGGAAGGGACGCAGACAATGAAAAGAAATGCCACATCAAATATGAAATACCTGCAGTGCATTCATCTACAGAACAACTTGCATGCATATCCGTGCGCAATTCAAATAATACAAACATGTCTACAACATGTAGGCCGACATCTGATTTAATTTGAGGGACTGAAACATAGAGATTGCAATAAATGTGTGTTTTTGCTTGTTAAATCGAAAGAGCAACATAATTACACGATAACTGCAAAATAGGCCTAGGATCATGTTGAATTGAATAGCCAATGGCTGAATTATGAGCAAACATGTAGGCCCACAGTTATATACAATCACAAAGAAATGAACAATATACAGTTCAAATACACTGAAATTAACTCAAGACCAGTCACAATGTGTTTTGTGCGAACGCATGGGGGCGCTCACCGCCAACTTAAACAACAATTAATTATAATGCAGGCCTTTACACAGCAAAACAGTACGAGAGGTAAAACACACATCCACACAGAATAGTAAAACTGTAGTAACTTCATCCAATACTTTTATCGGCCCTATGCTATGTTATGACGGTGCGGAAGTGTGCTTAGAGGCTAGGCCAAATATACCTAATCACTGAGAAGAGAAGCCATATTATTATCGTAATTATTATTATTATTATTATTATTATTATTATTATTATTATTATTGTTATTATCATTATTATTATTGTTATTATTACAGGCTATTATTATTACTATTATTATTATTATTATTATTTATTAACACACTGGCAATTATGCGACGGACATGTTTATCTCTGACCTTGCTGTTCTCCGTGAGGTGGTAGAGTTGGGAAAGTTGCGCCGCGGTTCTTAGAGCTTCCAGTTGTAACAGCAGTTGTGTCCCGGTGGAGTTGGCAACACAACCCATAGTATCATTACAGGAGAGAGGCCGTCAGGCCGGGGCTGGGGCGGCAGGCAGGGCCAGGGAGAGAGAGGAGGCAGGCAAGCAGGCTGCGGTGTGTCTTCCCTGGTTGGAGCTGAAGCCGCCACTCTCTAGTCTGTGTGAGTGCGTCTTTGATGATGAGGTGAGCTCTCTCTCATTAGGCTAGTGATTCCCTATTGCCCCCTCGGAGCGCCCGGAGTTATCCGAAGGCCACTCCTCCTCCCGTTCTTATCTCAAACCAAAGGATTGCCTGATCTGACGAGGAGACCCCTCCCCACAGCTCCGTCTCCGCTCTCACCAGTAGATTAATCTATTATTAATGAAAATAATGTATCTAGCGGTCAAATACTTTTAAAAACACACACGTGGGCGATAAAAAGCCGGTAGATGTTTTAAAGGCTTTCGAAACAACGCTGAGCAATGTGTTTTTATTTCAGGCTTTAAACACAAGTCTCTACACCTGTTTTTACTTGTTATCTTTCACCAGATGCTTTTCACAGTTTGTGCAAGAGTACACTTATTTGTGCCAAAGACGTAAACAAAGGCATGAAACATTTGGATACGTTCAGAATAATTGGTATCAACCGACTTTGTTATCATAAATGCAACCTGCTTGCTTGCTACATTGAATAAACGATTTATGTAATTGCAACGCGTGAGCCCTATATAAACTCGCAATTGCCTGCAATAAAATATAGTGACAAGGTATTACTATTAAATAGGCCGATGATAACTGTTTTGGAAACAATATTTAACAATTATTTTATAGGCCTATATTTTTTAAAAGTAGGCTATACTATTAGCCTATATTGTGTACACTTTTAAACCGTACACCAAATGCATTTTCCTCAATAGATTTAACCCTCTTAGTCCTCTGACAATGTATTATTCTTTCTGACAAATTGAAAAATGCTCTCTCTTAATCAGCATTTTACAACCGAAAATATGGGTGAAAAAATATATTGAAAGAATAGAGACATATATTAATGTAAAAAAAAAATCGTAGTTAATAACGTGTGTAAATACAAAATGTAGTTTATTTGATTCTTCTTAACTCATACACGGAAAACATTGAACGGCAGCCGGTTCTGGTTAGTCGACATACAAATACTGTCATAGTCGTCAGGTTGTTGCTACAACAATACCCACAAAATATCGTAGCTATTTTACAACATATGAATGCACAGACAGTAAAGTTTTACATGAACAACTCAAAATAGGTTTTAGAATTATGCAGCTGAGCCATGTCATGGGTATAGTCTTTTTGTAGCAGTCTGTGTGATATATTGTGATATGAGCCATGTCATGGGTATAGTCTTTTTGTAGCAGTCTGTGTGATATATTGTGATATGAGCCATGTCATGGGTATAGTCTTTTTGTAGCAGTCTGTGTGATATATTGTGATATGAGCCATGTCATGGGTATAGTCTTTTTGTAGCAGTCTGTGTGATATATTGTGATATGAGCCATGTCATGGGTATAGTCTTTTTGTAGCAGTCTGTGTGATATATTGTGATATGAGCCATGTCATGGGTATAGTCTTTTTGTAGCAGTCTGTGTGATATATTGTGATATGAGCCATGTCATGGGTATAGTCTTTTTGTAGCAGTCTGTGTGATATATTGTGATATGAGCCATGTCATGGGTATAGTCTTTTTGTAGCAGTCTGTGTGATATATTGTGATATGAGCCATGTCATGGGTATAGTCTTTTTGTAGCAGTCTGTGTGATATATTGTGATATGAGCCATGTCATGGGTATAGTCTTTTTGTAGCAGTCTGTGTGATATATTGTGATATGAGCTGTCTCTCTTGACAGTACTGCCCTGACAGCTCTCAGACAAATCTTGACCTCTCCCAATTTCTTTCGAGTGTCCAGGGGACAGATACATCATCCATCAATGCCACTAGGGTCCAGAATAATCCCCCACTGTCCCCCTCAAGCACAAGCACACATGCACACACACACACAACGGCCTATTTATCACAAGGGAGTGTGTGATCAAAGCAGGGAGAAAGGGGAGATCAAACAACATGGGGTGTAGGGGGGGCTTGTCCTCTTGAGACACAAAAGACAAGGACCGTGTGACAAGAGGGTGGACATGCTTGATGCTTCCGCTCTTCAGCGAGCTGTGTAGCCTACGTTTACCATCCGAGACAGAACACCACTCTGTGTCTGAGGACAGGCTTTTGGCTATGGGGAAACGGGCCTCCTGTAATTCTGTGACCTTGCATTTCGTAGATGGAAACCCTTTTAGGACTGGGATGCTCCTAAACAAGCTTCGGCTATGTCCCTTTTTCCAACACACACACACACACACACACACACACACACACACACACACACACACACACACACACACACACACACACACACACACACACACACACACACACACACACACACACACACACACACACGCTAACTGCCTAACTGGCTTCCTTCATTTGCTTAACCTTCAGGTTAGGAACATGCATATTGATTTAGAATAAATGGAGTGTGTGTGTGTGTGTGTGTGTGTGTGTGTGTGTGTGTGTGTGTGTGTGTGTGTGTGTGCTCTCCTTGGCGTAACGAGCAGAAGGAGCTGGCAGGACTCAGTGCGTACTTGATGTTGTTATGACAAACTGCTTAAGAGCATCTTGAGAAATGAGGGCTGAGGGGTTCAGAGGTCAATGGGCTCTCTGAATGGCAGGGCCTATTGAGGAAGGAAGCCCCCTCCCTATCTGTGCAGCTTCATCCTTACTACTAGACAGACATGCACTCACACAAACACACGCACATGCACACGCACACACACACACACACACACACACACACACACACACACACACACACACGCACACACACGCACACACACATCATTTCACAATCAATTGAACAGGGAAATGGACACTTATTCATTGACACTTAGGTCAATATTGATGACCATTAAAGCATTTATCTCATTCCATGAAAGAAAGTGAATTATTTGGACATGCACTGAAATTTATGAAATAATATCAAAACGCGGTACTGCCCTAATTGTTTAAATATGCATGATTATCCATGTATTATAGTCCCATGTAGCTAAGTTGGTAGAGCATGGCGTTTGCAACACCAGGGTTGTGGGTTCGTTTCCCACGGGGGACCAGTATGAAAAAAATAAAATAATGTATGCACTCACTAAGATAAGAGTGTCTGCTAAATGACTAAAATGTAAATGTATTTTCTGATACACTACAACATTAATGACATATGAGTAAATGGGTAAATAAATGATCTGTTTGTGTTTTAAAATGTTACCGAAGTATTTGAATTTGCCTGTCGTGAGCATATTTCCATAAACTCATGCATTGTGCATGCTGATAAAAAAAGCAGCAAAGTACAAAGTTTGATAAATTATGCATTTTTGCATTGTGTATGTGTGTGGTGTTTGTAAATAAATGATAAGGTTGTGCCCGTGAGCCACTAGACAAAACAACGCCTCGCAAACAAAAGCAAAGCAGCCCACTAAGTACAAACAACTAAAAAATAATCCTAGGTCCAAAACGAACCATTGGATCTGGGACATGCCCAACCCCCAGATATGGATTTAAGCACCGGACCCGTTTGTTCTCTGATTCTGGCTCAGTCTAAAAAGACCCCCTATTCACTATATAGTGCACTACTTGTGACCAGAGCCCTATGCACTAAATAGGGAATAGGGTGGCTTTTCAGACTGTGTTTGCGGTAGCAGGGGACATTGATGCGAACATTTGACCAGGATAAGAGCCTATAGTGTACCCAGCTATTCTGGAAGGCCCTTGTTCACTCCAGGGCCCAATGATGTCTCATATGTCACACCAGTACAGGGGACAGAGACAGGGACAGGGGTGGACAAGCTTGGACAATGAGAACCAATTGTAAAACAGGAAATCATTATTGATTGGTTTGTATACACTGTACGTGCATGAAACTAGACAAGGCACTTGTGGAAAACAAGCCAATTTATTCCTTTAAAAAAATCCTTCCTCCTACTTGCACAGATATACTGTATCATTGACATTTTAGGTTATTTGTATGTTGATAGTTGCATACACTAGAGCATCTTTAAGGAGAGAGTGTGTGACTGGCAAGAGACGTAAGCGACACACAGGCATTGGGGTTAGGCTCAGTTGGGTTTTATGACCAAGTGAGTGGTAGAGTGTGGGCATTCCTCCAGGAGTGTTCCATTTCCAGGTTTCATTTTTGGACGGGCAGAGAGTGTGGCTGGCTTCCAGAGAAGGACCCAGAGTGATTACGAGACGCAGGAGTGTCAGTGTGTTATTGTTCTACCTCTTAACATGAGTCACTTCCTCAGCAAGGCACTCACGTACCAGCCTTGGACACACAATAGAGCCATTATTTTACTCATCATGCACACACACTTACTTAGACGAACACACACACAGACACACACACACACTAACAATGACAAGCACACACACGGACTCATAGTCCACTGTTCTTCCCACTGGGTAGGTAGGAAGAAAGACAATAGCCACTCCACCATGTGTCAGCTGCTTCTAAACTCCTCCCCCAACCACTAAACCCTGGCAGCTGATAGGAGGAGGAAGGTGCCACACTGCCCAACCACTAAACCCTGGCAGCCTATAGAAAGAGGGAGGCGCCACTCACCTGGTCTCCACTGAGGTGACATGCCGCCAGGTTCTGCTCCTCGAAGGAGGGGGCGGTGCGTACGTACTTGAGCCAGCTCCCGCCGGCCTCCGAGCCTTCGTCCAGGCAGAACTTGACGTTTCCCATCTCATCCACCACCTGTTGAAGAACACATAGGTCAGAGGTGGACCTGTTTTAAAAGCCAGCACACACAGAGATGAGCCTCTATCTTCTCAAGTATGTGTGTGTGTGTGTGTGTGAGTTTTATTTCTTTAGTCACCATCATATAAATGTTGCCTGAATTACAATGGTCAGATAATACCAGACAGTTTCAAATCTCTCAACCGTTGGATCCAAAGAGGGATACATTTACTATTTGTCCCATATAAGGGACATTTTGGATTTTCTCAACACTTTGTGTGTGTGTGGTTGCACGTGCACGCATGTGTGTCCATATCTGTCAGTAGACAGAACATTATCTGCCAAGGGCCCCTAACCTTGTTGCTCCTCCGAGCAGCGAGAGGAAAGGGGGAAAGGAGGGAGGAGGAGGGGAAGGTCGAAAACTGCGGCTTCTCTCACTTGTCTAAAGACTTTCTTTGGCACATATTGATCACCCTTTGTAACCCCTGGGCCGCCCCGGGAACGAGGGAGCAGTTTCAGGTTACCCCTTAGACAGATGAGAGGAGACGGAGGAAAATAGGAGGAGAGGAAAGAAGAGGGGCTCATTGTGGGGCAGAAATTAAGGGAAGAAACCAGGGAGTTGATCGCGAGCTGCCTCCATTTTATTTATTTACTGCTGGAGAAAAATGAACCTCTCTGCTCAAGATGAAGAGCACACCACACACACTTCAAAACTGCTGCGCCATGATTGCTGCTAAGAACACAAGACTGAGAAGTTCAGCCACTAAAATCAAGATTTCTGAGGGGGGGCTCAACAGATATTACAGGATACATGTCCAATATCAACGTTCTCACTAAAATGTAAACATATTGGGCATATTATGAGTGAGCATAAACTATTGCAAAATGAGAACAACCAAAGGGCACTGAGTGAATAATACACTGACAAAGGCCTAGTGACACTAGACAAGAACACAAATGAAAACAAGATCAATGTAGTGGTAGTAGCTTGGTCTTGGTGGGACAATGGCTCTCGCTGGTGGCAAATAAGACTATGACAGTTTATAGAGAGTGAGAGTGTGGAGAGTGTCTGAAGGCGCCAAGGTAGTGTTAATTTGGCACCAAATGGAAGAAAACAGACTGAAACAGGGAGGGACTACATAGACTTGTCCAATATGAAACGCACATTTTCGTTTACAATTGTGAAACGCTTTAAAACACTTTCCGTTGCCTGCCCTAATGAACACATCCCAGGTGTCTGTCTGCTAACCTATGCCCTCAGAAGAGCCTGGAAGGAGGAAAATCTCACAGCTCTGTTCCTCCACAAAGCTCTATAGAAGATCTAATTTCTCCTGGTGGAGTATTCTGGTGGAACTGATACTCTGTTGGTCGCTGGGCAGATCCTCTGGGGGCCGAGACGAGACAGGCCTGGCTAGGGCTTCTCATTACTGGCTCATAATCAGCCTCCTCTCACCTCAACTTCTACCTCTCAGGTTATTTTATATTGCAACCCAATATCATGGTTTTACTAGTAACATATTTACGTTTTGTCCGTTTGAGTTGGTTGTAGGATATTTACGTTTTCGCCCCCCAAAAATAAACAAACTTACATTATGGTCTCACCTTCCCAGTTGAATTCTATTGTCACGGTAAAAAAAAAAAGATAGCCAACTTTCCAATGGAACATTTACAGGCTTGCAAGATTCTGTTGCTCGTAAACTCTGAATAGCCTTCTTGGTCGGGGAGTGAGCAAGTGCAGAAGGTGTGGTGTCGGTGAAGGGAAGGTGTGGTGTTTTGTGAGTAAATATGGAAATAGCGGGTCTGGTCCGAGGTGAGAAAGGTGGTTCATGTTCGCACACGGTTCTGTGCGCTAACTAAACATAAGTGTGCCCCAAAGTTGCAGCTGTGCCTCACACTATTGCGTTGTGGTGAGCCCGTGGGGAGCGAGAGTGTTAGATTAGTCCACTACTAACTTGCTTGTTTGGAAATAACAAAGCCTTTTAGAGCAAAATATAATGAGACAGCACCTACGCACATGTAGCATGTAACACCTCAGGTCTTTAACATCAAGAACAACCTGTGGTTGCCTCGCATGCAAATGCATTGGCCTGATTGTGACAGTGCGTTAAGATACTGATTGTGCGAGAGGTTTGCTTTCCACGCACAGTCTTGTTCTTCAGCGCTTTACTGGATGTTGAGTTGATTAGCTCGACTGCTCTGATTGGACTATTTTTGTTGTCCATGTTTTAAGCGATTAGCTAGCCGTACTCAATGTCATCTTGAATCAGAGTTCCTTTGATATACTCTGTCCTCTACACTGAGCTCACAGAGAATACCTCAGTACTTTCTTCTCTTCCCCCTCTGCAGTGGACAACATAGTAAAACAGTGATTCGAACAAGATCTACTGCCGCCGCCGTTTAAACGTTAAGCAGTCCGAAATGATGTAGTCCAGACCCTTTATTTTATGTGTGAAAACAGTCACTGAAAACTAACCAGGCATAGAGGCGAAATTATCCCCTTTAAAAAAAAGCGAAAAGAGCCAATGTCTTGCGCAGGTTCAAGTCAGAGTGCACTTGTCCCAGCGCCTGTTGGGAGCTCAAACACGGGTATTGTACATGTTTTATGAACAGATGGGGAACAGCTTCGGCTGAGGCGAGGGGTGTAGAGGGAGGGGGGTGCGGTGGAATTGCAGGGGCGCTCCCGACCAGGCTTTACACACTGAGCACACACACTCCACCCCCACACACACCTTGCGAGGTAGCAAAGGGTCTGGCTGTGGGCTCTAATGAGCTGCATGCCAGTGTGTCGGGGGGCCTGCGAACACTCTATATGCAGGTGGAGCCCTGATTTATAAGGCCTCAAATGAGGTGCAACAGAGAGAGAAAACCCTACTCCAGATTGTTTATTTATTTACCTTCTATTCTTCTCGTCTTGACGTCAGAGCGAGGGACACCTCTCTGGAAATGTGATGTCGTTTTAACACCAGCCAGAGCAGAGACACACCCTGCCACCACTAGGCTAAGGTACAACCCACGCACGCGTGCACCCACAGACAGACACACACACACCACACACACATTCCCTGTTTCTCTTACTGTTTTAGGGGGTTAAATTCCAGGGTACTTCTCCAAAGTCTACTTAGCCGGGTTAAGAAGTGCCCTTTATTTAAGGGACCAATTAAAGGGAACAGGTGTGTGGGTGTGGAGCTGATCTGTCTGAGAGGCTGGTGGAAGGGTGTGTGTGTGTGTTAACGACAGGAGGTTGGTGGCACCTTAATTGGGGAGGATGGGCTCATGGTAATGGCTGGAGCGGAGTAAGTGGAATGGTATCAAATACATCAAACACATGGTTTCTATGTGTTTGATGCCATTCCATTAACTCCGTTCCAGCCATTATTATGAGCTGTCCTCCCCTCAGCAGCCTCCACTGGTGTTAACAGTGGGAGTTGTGATGTTGTGAAGGTTAAGCTGACAACATGCAAGTCATTTTTAGAGTTTTGGTTGGACCAGAGTGCATCTCTGCTTTAAAACAAACACTACAACTACTATTATACAGCTTCACCACAGCAACATCTCAATCTCCCTCAGATGATTACCTTGCACACTCCCTTCACATCCTACCTAAAGTTAGCGCAGGAACCCCAAATATTCCAGTCTGCTGTGTGTGTGTGTGTGTTTGTATCTGTGTCCGTTCTTGTGTGTGTGTGTGTGTTGTATCTGTGTCCGTCTCTGTGTGTGTGTGTGTGTGTTTTGTATCTGTGTCCGTCTCTGTGTGTGTGTGTGTGTGTTTGTATCTGTGTCCGTCTCTGTGTGTGTGTGTGTGTTTGTATCTGTGTCCGTCTCTGTGTGTGTGTGTGTGTGTGTTTTGTATCTGTGTCCGTCTCTGTGTGTGTGTTGTGTGTGTGGTTTGATGTGTCGTTTGTGTGTGTGTTGTGTGTGTGTTGTATCTGTGTCCGTCTCTGTGTGTGTGTGTGTGTGTGTGTTGTATCTGTGTCCGTCTCTGTGTGTGTGTTTGTATCTGTGTCCGTCTCTGTGTGTGTGTGTGCATGTGTTTGTATCTGTGTCCGTCAGTGTGTGTGTGTGGTGTGTGTGTTTGTATCTGTGTCCGTCTCTGTGTGTGTGTGTGCGTGTGGATACCCAAGGCTGGACCCTTTCACATAGCCTCAGAGGCTTATCTAGGTAATACAAAATAAGGTTCACTGAGTAGATTTTACTTGAAGAGAGAGATCCATTCAAGTACACATCAATGATGAGCCTGAAGTAAGGAAGGGAGAAAATTATATATTTGCAAAGTATTCGAACAATAACACAGGTTCCTAGTGGACATGAAAATTGGGACCAATGCAACAGGAAGGGGTGATAAGAGGGCTCCTGGGTGCGACGCGTATACAGGTCCCCGGCAGACAAAGACAGGAACCTTTGACAGCTTGTAGTCTTAATGGATGTCTGGGTATTCATACAGGCCTCGTGGCTGTCAGTCTGTCAGTCCTGCTTGATGGACGTGTGGTGTAAGGGAGGAATTACCAGCGAAGTGTCATCTGGGGGGACGCGATGGATGACAAGTTTGAGCTACGTCTGAAATGGCACCCTATTCCCTAAAAAGTGCCCTACATTTGACCAGGGCCCATAGGGGGAAATGAAGCCTGATTTGTGAACAAAGTTGAGATTTCACAGAAGGATAAGAAAGTGGTCCACATGTACAGTATGTAATGTGTGATATACTGCAAACTAGCACATTTCTCATAGATTGGGTGTTATTTAGGATATATAGGATCTTAGCTTGGCTTGTCTGAGGGCGAGAACACACACCCAGGTCTACATTGTGTGAGTGTGTGTGTGTGTGTGTGTGTGTGAGAGAGAGAGAGAGAGAGAGAGAGAGAGAGAGAGAGAGAGAGTGTTTGGGGTTAAGTTCTCTTATCCTGCTCTGAATCTGATGGCTTAGCGAGGCTCTGGGTGTAATCGATGAAAAAGACTGTGCTGTGGTTTCCAGGGTGCGCTCTCTGTGTGTGTGTATGTATGTGTCTGTCTGACTGTGTGTTTCTATGTGTGTGTGTGTGTGTGTGTGTGTGTGTAAGGGGAGGCCTGCGGTGGTCTCTCCAAACCCAAACCACATTGCGGAGAGATTGGTTCAGATTTGATGGGGGAGGTGGGGGGTCAAGAGGGTGAACAAAGACACAACCATATCTGTAACATTACACCTCAAACTGAGACATGGCCTGCCTGTGTGTGTGTGTGTGTGTGTTTCTGTGTGTGTGAGTGAGAGAGAGAGAAAGAAAGAGTGTGTGTGTGTGTGTGTGTATGTATATCTAGCAGCCATGGCTTTCTGATGTCAGTAGTAGCGCTATCCATGGTGTGAATAGCACCAAACACATCAACAGGAAATGAGCAGTCCTAAAACAATAAGAGTCTCAAAACTCCAACATTAATGTCACCAGCACGTCCTTTCAAGACTCGAGAGAATGGACAGAAAGAAACCAAGAAACCTTTTCTCAGCCAGGAATGCCCACTGCCCAGCTAGCTTTCAAGACCCACACGTCCTCCCAGTTTGTGAACACACACACGTTCGTTGAAAGATTTCCTTGTAAAGAGCGTTTGCGGCTCGGGAAAACAGGAAAGCGTTTGCTAACACAACTAGGGGAGAGCGGGACAGGCAGTACAATAGTGTTGTGGCAGCTACTGTGGCCCTATCTGGTTTACGTATTCATATCCTGGGGAAGTCAACCTACAACAGGGGGCTCCTCAGCGGAGCCTAGGGACTGCTGGGAGGAGGAGGAGGGTGAGTCAGATGATAAACTTCTCTTTCTCCATCTCTCTCTTCGTTTATTGTTGTTCTGCTGTGGGAGACTGCTCGCCACAACAAACAAAGATTTAGCTAGCTTTCAGGGAATGGTGTGTTACAAAAAGTCTGCATGTTAGGGATTACATATGCGCGCGTGTATCACTGTGTGACTGCCTGTGTAGACTATAGGCATACCTCCGTCTAGAGTTCAAAGCCCTCTGACCTATGATACATGCACTGATCACTGATATGGATTGACATTTCCTATCGCCAGAACAGACTAGGGAGGCGAGAAAGAAGAGACCGATAGACAGAGGATAGGAGAGAGAGAGAGAGAATTAGAGAGATAGAGATAGAGAGAGCGAATAGAGAATATAGAGTGATGAGAGATAGAGAGAGAGATAGAAGAGAGAGAAGAGAGAAAGAGAGAGAGTAGATAGAGAGAGACAGTATAGAGCGAGAGAGAGAGAAGAGGAGAGGAGTCAGAGAGAGAGAGTCAGAGAGAGAGAGAGAGTCATAGAATCGAGAGAGGGGAGAGAGAGAGAAGAGAGTAGAGAGACATAGAGAGAGAGAGCGAGAGAGAGAGAAAGAGATGAGAGAAGAAGATGCGAGAGAGAGTCAGAGAGAGAGAGAAAAAAGTCAAGATGAGAGAGAGAGTAGAGAAGTCAGAGAGAGAGAGAGAGTCAGAGAGAGAGAGAGAGAGAGTAGAGATTCAATATATTAGAGATAGAGAGAAAGATCTAGAGAGAGGAAGTATTCAGAAGTGAGAGAGAGAGATAGAGTCAGAGAGAGTCAAGAGAGAGTAAGAGATCAGAGAGAGGATGTGTGCTCCCCCATGACAGCTAGAGGGCAGCCTGGTATGAAAGCTGTCCGGATGGAGAAGTGGGGAAAGGTCAAGCACTACTCTACACAGCGACACACATGTGCCCATTCATTCTCATATCTGGTGCAGGGGCAACCTGGAACCTGCACAGGATTTCCTGTAGCCTTCATTACACAGGGCACAAGTCATTACTCTACACACACACACACACACACACACACACACACACACACACAACCACACACACACACACACACACCACACACTCACTACCACCACACACCACCCACACCACACCACACAGCTAATGCGCAAGACAGAGGGGCTGCGAGGTGGATATGGGGCTAGTCATTTGAGGCGTTGTAAATTAAGATGAGAGACGACAACCTGAAATAAGTGTGTGTGAGTGAGTGTGTCTGTTCTGGAAGGGGCTCTGTTTCCGGCTGGAAGGCCCCTCCCCACACACACACTCACAGACACTCAGGGCTGCCCAATAAAGAGCCTGACAGAGTGCAGGCCCCCACAGCTCACTGGACCCGTGTGTGTGTGTGTGTGTGTGTGTGTGTGTGTGTGTGTGTGTGTGTGTGTGTGTGTGTGTGTGTGTGGTGTGTGTGTGTGTGGTGTGTGTGTGTGTGTGTGTGTGTGTGTGAGCGGAGGTGAGAGGTGGACGGGTGAGAGGGGGGTCCTGCCAATAATGCTCATTTCTAAGCAGTTGGGCCTGACAGCTTTTGTCTGCTACAAAGATGACGAGGGGAAGGAAGGATTGAGGGGAGAGACAGAGACAGAGGGAGAAACAGAAGGCCATTAATCATATCTTATTAACTTTAGTGGGCTGGGGCTCGACTGTGGTGCGAGGAAAGGGGGAGAGGGAAAGAGATGTCCCTATATATTTACTTTGGCAGTGCGAGATGATGTCTGAGCATGCCAATACAGCTTATTGAATTGAACTTCAGAAAAAGAGAGGGTGTAAAAGATAAATAGAAAAATAAATTGAGGATGAGAGGAAAGGAGGGAGAGAAAGAAGCTTGAGGAAGAGCAACACAACCCCTGTTAAACACATATACACACACGAGCGTGCACACCACAAGTGTAAATAAAAAGCCAGAGTCTGGACCTCTTTTTACCACAGCCCAACCCAGCTCAGGCCTGGAACTAAAACCTGTGTGTGCCATCAACATGTAGCTAGTTTAACTGTCTGTCCAAGCTGTGTGTGACTGCTGTTTTTACACACACACACGCGCAGGCACGCACGCACACACGCGCACACACACACACACACACGCACACACACTGGACCCATGTTTGCTGTTCTTCTATAACACTATTAAATTCATTTGATTGCGATGAGTCATTTTTATGGCAATGACAAATGAGTATACGGACGTGAGGAAACCGAACCCATAAAAACGTCTCATTCCAAACTCCTGTCTGGTCCTCTTTACCCTCAAATCAGGGTTGTGTTCATTAGACAGAAAAATAGAAGTGAAACAGACTGAAAAGACAGGAACTACCTGAACTATCTTGTCCAATAAGATACCTTTATTTTCAATTTCCGTTGTAAAATGGTTTGCTACAGTGAGCGCTAATGAACACAACCCAGAACTGTTGCAGGCTGATTTGAAGATAGATGGAAGAAACCATGTTTGAGGTTAGGAAACACACAACACCAAGTACTACAGTTATGGTTGAATGAGGTGTGACATTGATCAGAGAAGTAGAGTACGAAACCTCGACAACAAACACATACATTCAGACGCACACGCAGATACACACATCATTTCCCTATAGAGAATGTGCCAAGTGGACTTGGGAGAGACGCAATTGCATTCCTTGATAAGCACTCAATTTCCTCTTTAATACAACGTTTTAAAAACGCAATGTCATAAAATTCTGCCTTGGCTAAACCAGGCACATTTACAGACGCGATGAAGGGACACACAGATATTCATGCCCTGTGTGTGTGTGTGTGTGTGTGTGTGTGTTTGTGTGTGTGTGTGTGTGTGTGTGTGTGTGTGCGTCTTCCCTTTTCTTCATGTGGTGTTGGTGTGAGTGTGGGAACCTGTGTGGAAATTCAGAGAATGAAGTCATCCCCATGAAAGACGAGGTGACAGAGACACACAGACACACTCACATACCCTCCTGATGCCCTGTGTTAGTCTGAGGTGGGGACCTATGTATTTACGGCCTGTTTCCTCCCTTGGCGTTGTTCGGTGCGTCGTTAGGGGAGCAGACACACAGGTGTACTATAACCAGCTTTAGGCTGCCATTAAGAGACCCCCCTCCCCTCCACATGGTGTGTGTGTGTGTGTGTATTGGTGAGTGTATTTGTGAGTGAAGGTGTGTTAAACTATGGCTTGTAGCCCTTCATAGCCAATCAGAAGTCAACAGTGATGAATGAAAAGTCAGACAGACAGACAGACAGACAGACAGACAGGGCCCCGGGCCTCATAAAAAGCCATCTGGGCTGTGGTGTGTTTGACTGTCACTGTGACTGTCGAGGAGAGCGCCCCAACTATCTAATTATCTAACTAACTAACGAACCACGGCTCCTCTCACAAATCATCCCCCATACACTCACTGTCCCTCAGCTATCAGGTAGGGAGGTGGTAAAGACACACGCCGCATGTACACACACACACACACACACACACACACACACACACACACACACACACACACACACACACACACACACACACACACACACACACAGTTGCATTATCAAAACCAACACAGAGAATCCCTTCATTGTAAAATGTTTTGATCGTTTGCGATGCCATGTTACGAAGTAGAACATCAAAGTCTCAAATGCCATACTGCAGGGTGTTTTGGATCGCCCCTTTCTAGTTCCACACACACCCTTTTCCTTTAACCCCCTCCACATCCACTGCACCACATCCACCCCCTAAATATGTAGCAGCACTGCCATACCCGGCGCAAAAGATTGACCCGTTTGAACGCCCCTCTTCCTTCGCCAAGGAAGGAGGAGTAGTTGGAGGAGGAGGAGGATGGGAAAATCCTGGCGCTGCTTTAGAGGCGAGTGATTTTTCAGGCTGCACCTCTATAATGAAATGACTGGCCATTATTTACTGCACCTCGTTAAGGTGACATGGGGGGGGGGGGGGGGGGGGGGGGGTGCTGTTGTGCTATATGCCCTCCCCTCTACACCCTCCCTTTTACTAGTGAAACCTGGCTTTGGGTTTTTTGGAAGAGAGGCCTTCTTTTAACTTTATGATATGTATTTAGGGCAATTAGGGAGGAGATATATGGGCTCATTATGGCCGAGCAGGTGCAGTGATAAAGCTAAATATATGAACGCTACATCGGGGTCAGCTCTCTCTCCTCCTCGTCTGTCTGTAACATTTAGAACCGGGAACTGGTGGGAGGGAACAAGGGTTTTTTCCTTTCTGTTAAGTCACGATGTTGTCTGACTCATGTAAGAAAAGTGTGTGAGTGTGTATGTGCGTATACGTGTGTTTCTTCTTACCCAGAGCACCAGGTGGTTGTATACACACACCAAGGAAGGGCGGCTGCCTTCTGATGTCGTAGTAGCAGGGACGGGGGATAAGACAAAGGTAGTCCATAATAGACAGATAAGACAACTGTGTCATCAGGGTGTGTATCTGTGAATGTCAGGGTGTGTGTTGTGTGTGTGTGTGTGTGTGTGTGTGTGTGTGTGTGTGAGTGAGTGTGTGAGTAAGAGCAGCTAGGTCACTCGTGATACAGGAACGTCTAATTCTGACGTGAGACTGTGAGAGCTGGTAGAGAGAGAGAGAGAGAGAGAGAGAGAGAGAGAGAGAGAGAGAGAGAGAGAGAGAGAGAGAGAGAGAGAGAGAGAGAGAGAGAGAGAGAGAGAGAGAGAGAGAGAGAGAGAGATAGAAAGAAAGAGAGAGAGAGATAGAGAGATAGAGAGTAAAGATAAGGACAATAATAAGAAGCTTGTAAAAGCGGGGTGCAGCCAGAGGGAACTACTAACTGGCCAGACCTCGGTGTGAAACCCAACCCACAGGAGCCTGACGGCGGCATCAAACATTGCTGCCAACCAATAAACAACCAGCTTCTTCAGAGGGGCTCTCCCTGTCAACCAATAAACAACCAGCTTCTTCAGATACTCTCCCATAGCAAATAAACAACCTTCTTTATCACAGACTGTCCTTCTAACCAGCTTCAATAAGCCCTCATCTCCCTCTGACCAATGAGCGACAACTCTGCAAGACTACGATTGGATGAGTCGATTCAAGAGTTTTGTACCAACATTAACCACAAACTTTCTCTGCTTAGCATGCCTCATACACGGCAATATATTGAACCCTCCCCCCCATTAGCCGTGGATGTTGGATGGCTGTGGGAGCCTGACTGTGGTGATGTTCAACTGAGCCTCGCCTAATGAGCCTGGAGTGTGTGTGTGTGTGTTTGTCTGTGTGTGTGTGTTCGTCAGTGTGTGTTCGTCCGTGTGTGTTCGTCTGCCTGTGTGTGTGTCTATCTGGGTATGCAGCCTCCACACCAGGAAACCATAAATTACAACAAGCCGACCTGCAAGACCATCTTACATTACAACTTTAAATATTTATTTATTGAAACATCAAATAGAATTATATACCAGAGTAAAACGTGTGAGAAAAAGGATATAGTTTTATATTCTAATATAATTACGGAAAATGTGTTCAATTAAAGACTAAGGGGTTCCCATGGTTTTCAGGAATATTTTCACTCCAGAAATATGAGATGTAAATTGAAATATTATTGAACTGGGACCAAGTGCTTTAAATCACTCTGCATCCTTGCCAGGCCTAGCAGCAAATAAAACCACCACTAGGATGTAGTGTGTATTTAACATTTAAACAACTTCGCTTTAACTCTATCCACACTGGCACATTGGAAGCAAACCAGCAGTTTGTGAAACAATTTGTGGAACTGTGCAAACATAAATAGGGAAGTGACATTCGATAAAAATTTGCAGCGCATGTTACAACATTATCAAATTATTTATGAATGCTCAGAAAGAATACTTCCTGCAATGGAGAGCAGGGCTGTGTTTGTCTACAAATTATAACGAGAGAGAGAGAGAGAGGCCGAGAGACATAGAGAGACATAGAGAGAGAGAGAGAGGCCGAGAGACATAGAGAGAGATAGAGAGACAGACAGAGAGAGAGAGAGAGAGAGAGAGAGAGAGAGAGAGAGAGAGAGAGAGAGAGAGAGAGAGAGAGAGAGAGAAACAAGAAAAAGAGAGGGAGCGAGAGAGAAAGAGAGAGAAAGAAAGACAGAAAGAAAGAGAATAACAGTATAATCTGGTAAATCGATAACTCGAAGCAGACAAACAGACTTATAACCAATCAGAACTGAAAACTGGACCTGGTCATAGTCAACCAGAGATGGCCAATAAACATGCAAATATTTCAAAGCCATGAGTCATTCCAGAATTTGCTCTTCAGATACAGAGAGAAAGCAGGTGATGTCACAATTGCCAGGGAATTCTAAAAGGACATTTTCTTGTCTCTTTTTTACACTACGATATTTTGACTTGCATACAACTGCATTGGTTAACACTTTGACCAAGGTTGTCTATGCTGTTAGTCTATAATTATTATAGTATTGTACACAAATACCACATATGTGAAATGTACACAACTTCACTTGTTCAAAGCCGTTAGGGTGCAGCTACATGCATTAAACAACCATATTGGCACTCTGTGACACTGCATTTTAAGTGTGACCCTGCACACAGTAAAAAATAGCCTGTAAACTGTACGTACAGGGTATGTATGACCTCTATTCTACCTGAGCTATGGGAGCTCCGTCTTTCGACGACTCCACTTTG